CTGAGGTAGTTATAAAATTTTTGGACTCAAGATTATGATGGAATATTGAATATAGGATAGACATGGATATAAAATTGTAGTTTTAGACTTTAAAAATTTAAATAATACACTGAACACAGTATTTCCCTATGTATAAATAAAACTTGTAGAATGAATTTCAGAGACAGCCACTATTCCATTTGCTTCCAGATTCTTGTAGTTGGGATAATAGATCAAAGAGAGCTCAAGATGGGTCAAAGAATATAGGTGATTTTAGTTTGTGTACATGTAAGAATACAATATTCATGAGTAAATTTGATTCTTTCTTAGGAACATACATTGATAGGGTCAGCAGATTCCCAAGATATCCAGCTGTGTGGAATGGGAATTCTTCCTGAACACTGTATTATAGACATCACATCAGAAGGCCAGGTTATGCTGACTCCTCAGAAGAACACCAGGTAATGTGCTTGAATTAGTGTTAAAGTCAGTCCTTTTTATATATGTATATATGTATATATATATTTATATATATATATATATATTTTTTTTTTTTTTTTGACAGTACTGGGGTTTGAACTTAGGGCCTCACGGTTGCTGGGCAGGCACTCTTATCACTTGAGCCACTCCACCAGCAATGTCAATCCTTTTTAAGAGGAAGAAAATATGCTAGTGTCAGGTGGTAGAAGAGACATTCAAGCTTCATTTACTTTTGTTTTAACTCCACATAAGACCCCCCAATTCAATATCAAATCCTTTATGTTTAATGTCAGCATCTCCCACAGCCATCCCTTCTCTCTGTGCCCCTGGCATCTGTGCTCCTTGCATGGCCTTGTTTAGGCCTCCCCAGGTCTTCATCAGGACCTTTGCCAACGTACACTCAACTTTGTCCACTGACCACACAACTGGAATGCGCTCTTCTGGTTTTGGTAGAAAGCCCTTTACATTCTTCCTGCTTATCTCCTGCACTTTTGCTCTGCCACTCTTTTGGCCTGCCAACTCCTGTTTCGGGTTAAGCTTTGCCCTTATCTTCTTTGGGGAGCTCTCTATTCTTTCCTACTTTCTGACTACATCCAATACACATGGAACCCTCATTTCCTACGCCTTCTCCAGAGTCATCCAGCTAAAGCCCTAGGTCATTTCTAACATCTTCCTGAGGTGCCTGATTATTCCCCATGTTGCTTCCTTGAATGAGTGATAAGTCCTGCTTGCTCAACTCTACGTAGGTTCCTGGTGTTCTCTGGTTGGAGGACATTGACAAAAGTCTGATTTTTACTTTAAGGGTTGAATTTTATCATTGGCAACAACTGGCAGTTGTTTTCCTTGCAGTGACGGCCCCCTCTATTCATTGTTGAGAACATGGTGCCCAATACAGGAGTCTGAAATGCTGGTTTGTGGATATCAAGATAGCCATTGTCCTTTGGTGTGTAGCAGTGGTGCTTTGTGTGTGCTTATTTTCTCAACTGAGATATTTAAAATGTATGCTTAGGGCTAAGATTTAGTATAACTCACAACTATTACTGCTTCCTCAAGGACATTCTCAAGTGAAACATTTTTCTTCTTTAACTGTGAGTGAACACTGGTGATTGCCAGTGATGTTGGCCACCCCTGCCTTAAACTGTGTGGAGCACCAGTGTTTTGGTTCACTGTCTGTTCTGTATGAATGTCAGTGTGGTGGGAAGGGCAAGTAACCCAAGTGTGTTGGTGGTGAGGACCCCATGTGGACAATAATTTGAAAACTTGTTTCTGTATTCATGCTTTTTAAAAAAACTAATCATGGTTTAACTGCTATGCTTTTAAAAGTAAGCCTGTGTATTTGTTTGCCTTTCTTATACTCCTTATTGCATTTGAAGAACTGTGTCATAAATGCTGAAATCTCCTTATTTTAGTAGGTCCTTTTTTTAAACTCATAGCTATATTTTTTTGAGCTTGTGCCTTGAATAATCAGACTACAGAGGCATAGAATTCAATTAGTTTTACTATTTAAAAATCCATATGGGGTGGAATTTAAACAGGGAGTAAGCTTTTGTGTACACTCAAATGTGTAGAAAGTCCTAAACAATGTAAAGCCAGGTAAGAGCTTTATAGCTTTATAGAGTTTAAAGAAACTCAGTTACCATATGCTGGAGTGGTCAGCAGCTTTTTCAGAGGAAGTGGAGTCCAAACTAGGCTTGAATTGTGAAGAAGATTCTGGATGACAGAGAGGAACAGGGAACATTATTCCTGTATGAAGCAATAAAGTTGATTCCAGGGACTAGAATGAGCCTGGATTAGAGGAAGAGCTGTTCATGTTTAGTGTACAAAAAATAAACCATATTTTTACAGGAGTTGAGCGTTCACTAGAAGAGGAAAGGAGATACAGAGGGCTTCCTTTAACATCAAGTTGAAGTATTTGCTCTTGATGTCCTGGATCTTAGTGCATGGTTCATAGAGCAAGGGAGTGGCATGGTGCTGGTGTTCCAGGAATACCAGTCTTATGTGGCATGGTGTTTTCTGTTCGTTTCTTGCACTTCCAGATTCTTCCTTTGATAGCAGTCTACCCCTATTTCTGTTCTTGAAGTCTGTTTTCTAAATAAGCAGTCCAGAGGAACTAATAAGTCTTCTCTAGATTGGTAGGATGTGACATTGTGTTGTGCTACAGGAAGTTACAGGAGAATTTCATCTAGGCTTCATTTCTCGTTACTGGTATCCATAGCTGTTTCTAAAGTGTGGTTTGTTGATTGGCTGTTTTTAATCCATCTAGATTGAACATGCTTGTTTTAGTTGCAGTGTGTTCTACTAACATCTTTCATTTGGGTTGTGTGGTTCTTCATTTGTTCCTGCATATATTCCATATACTGAATAGCAAGTTAGAACTTTCAACAATACAGAATGTTGATCTTTAACCCTTAATAGTAGTATAAACATGCTTAGTAAGCTATAAAACATCTAAAACTTTGAAAAATGGTGGATAATAATCCATTATACTTAGTGACATTAGCATTGCAGGTAAATCAGCAAAAAAGTAAATGCAAAACAAAATTCATCAAGGACAGCTTTACTTGGGGAGGTGAATTATTCTGCTTTCTCAACAACTGGACTGTAATAGTATTGGAAAGTTGAAGCAGAGGATGGGATCATCATTCACAGTTGACCTTTTCTCCCCGCAGAACATTTGTGAATGGGTCTTCTGTCTCTAGTCCAATACAGCTGCACCATGGGGACAGGATATTATGGGGAAACAACCATTTCTTCAGGTATGGTATTGCTCACAGGCCCTAAAGGCACAAGTCATTGCAGATTATTCTCTGAAATATAAGAATACATTTTAACTGTAAAATTAACTCTAAAAATTATACATAATTTTGTGTAGATTCGTGTGTATCTATTGCTGTTTGTATGCTCTACATGTGTTCACTGCATAAGTATGTGTGAACCCTTGAGACTCACAAAAATTATACTTGGGAAAAATACTGAATTTACTCACATTTTCCCCTATTTTCCAGCGGAAGATGGTTGTTTTGCCATCTGGCATAAGAATTCATGAATTTTTTTTGCCGTGCTTATCTTTATTATTTTTTTTCCTTATGCTGAAAAGTAGTTGTGGTTGCAGTTTCCTTTTCCATAAAATTAGGTTGGTATTTCCTTCAGGACTGCTTTCAGCTGTGAGTGGCAGCACACTTGACAGTGCTGGCTTAACAGATGGATTGTTTTCGTGACTGAACAAGAAGTCTGAAGGGAGGTGGGAGTTAGTGTTGACTGAGCCTCTCAGAAATGTCAGGGCTGCACTCTGCTGTTTTCTTGGTGCTTCCCCGTGATCTAAAGATGGCTGTTTTGCTCCAGTCATAGAAGCTGCATTCAGCTCATAAGGAGAAAAGGAGGGAGAAGGCTGCAGCACCAGCCCTGACCATCCTCATCAGAGCTTCCAGCATCTCTTTTGCTAGAATTTGCCTGGTGGCCACAAGTGAGGTTGTGAAAAGAAAGCTTTCCCTGGGGCTGCACACACTGTTTCCTACACAGAACTATTGTCATTCAGGAAAGGCAGACTGTGCAGTATACAAAGTTAAAATCCTGGCCCTGGCCAGCGCACCTCAGCTGTCAAACTGACTTTTCCTATAGCTCATGGAGACTCCTGTTTGTAGGCCACTGGTATTTTGATTTCTGAGAAAATAGTAGATGAGTAAAAGATTGTAGAAAATGTTTTTATTTTTTTCCTTCCCAAACCAAAGCAAGCATAAATCACTTGGCATAGTGTTAAAACCTTTAGAGTTTGGATTAAGTTGATCTTTCCAGCTCTCTCATTCAACTTGTGCTATACAAGTTGTGTATCCCATGTTATTTTACTCATAATTTCTCCAGCTATGGTAAGAGTGTTTCTGTGTCCCATCTTTCCCCACACTGTTCCCTCTGCCTTACTTCCCACTTATCCTTTAGGGTCCAGCTTGGACAATCCCCTATTCTGTCGCACCTTCCTTTACTACTCCACTCTGAAGTGGCCTCAGCTTTTCTTTACCACCTATCTTGTAGCAGTCACATGGCCTGTGTCATGTGTTCTGTTGCAACATTTTCACATGTGTGTTTTATTTCTGCTACTAGAATAAAAAGTTCTCGAATGCACAGTTGCCTTATAATTACATTGTATTCCTTGGCATCCAGGAAATGTTAATATTTACAGAGTAAATGAATAAATGCCTATCTTGATTTTAAAAATGATGTTCTTTCCCCGCCCCTCACATCAAGACTCAGTTTGCCTAAAAAGAGAAAGAAAGTAGAACGAGAGGATGAGGATCAAGGTGCCTCTCCGAAGAATGGTAACAGTTCTGAGCAGCTGGATGCAGACGGGGACTCCTCCAGTGAGGTGTCCAGTGAGATTAACTTCAATTTTGAGTATGCACAGATGGAGGTGACCATGAAGGCCCTGGGCAATAATGGTGAGCATGCCTGCTGTGCATTGTAGAGTCTCCAAAACTGACAGTATGGGAAGTGTTTTCCTTTGAGACCTTCTAAGTATTAAGTAAAAGAAAAGTTTTTACATTGCTATTCTCTGAACTCTATTCCTTTCTGTCTTTGGCTAGATCACTTTATTATATTTATAAAAGCTTGCCTTTATTATTTTTTTTGGTGGGACTGGAGTGTGAACTCAGGTTCCATGCTTGCAAAGCAGGTTCTCTGCTGCTTGAACCATACCTCCAGTCCATTTTGCTCTGGTTATTACATTTTTTAAAATTTTTCTTTGGCGGGAATGGGGTTTGAACACAAGGCTTTACCTTGCAAAGCAGGTGTTCTGCCACTTAGCCATACCTTGGTCTTGTTGTTTTAGAGATGGGGTCTTTTGAACTTGTTTGCCTGGGCTAGTGTTGAACAGCAATCTTCCCAAGTAGCTAGGATTACTGGAATAATCCACCAGTGCCTGGCAAAACTTGGCTTTCTTTCTGTCTTGATACACAGATCATTGCAAACTTTGTTTTCATTGGTAGAATTTTGCAAGCTTGAAGCTAAACCTCCTCAGCTTATTATTATACTTTATTTCTGGAGCATTCACCATGTCTTAGGTGATCTGTAGAACAATAGTAGACCAGCCTATATGCAAGTGAGAATAGATAACTACACAGGTAACTGAAGTAAGGATAGCTGAGTTTATTCTAAATTGCCTCTAATGGTTTTAGAAGGTGGTAATTAGAATGATTGAGAATACAGCAGTATAGCACAACATTTGAAGTGTTGTCTATCTACTTTACAAAATTGTTTAGATCCAATGCAGTCAATATTGAATAGCCTAGAACAACAGCATGAAGAAGAAAAGAGATCTGCCCTGGAGCGCCAGCGGTTGATGTATGAGCATGAGCTAGAGCAACTCCGGAGAAGGCTGTCCCCTGAGAAACAGAACTGTCGCAGCATGGACAGGTTCTCATTCCACTCGCCCAGTGCCCAGCAACGCTTGAGACAGTGGACCGAGGAGAGGTAGGCAGTGCAAGGTGGCTTGTATTGGTCAAACTCGTGCTCCCCACCTGGGGAAGGTTCTAGATGGGAACATTTAGACATTACTTGCAAAAGCATTACATTTCAAGAGAGTATTACAGCCAAGAAGCACTTTGTATTATTTTTCAGTTTTGAAAGAATGGGAACTGCTAGAATATACTGCTTCCCTTAAAATGTTAGATGCTGCCCATTTTCAGTCTATATGGTTTTTGGATTTGTATGAAGAACTATACTTTATCATTGTATTATGCTTTAGGTTCTGAAGCTTGGGTAGATGCTTTTTTAAAAAAGGAAAAAAATAAGGTTGGTTTCTGGACTGATTAGCACAGGTAGGTAAAGCATGGTGCTAATGAGATGCAGATTGCAAGTTTGAGCTCTATGTGGACTAATTAGCATTTCACTAAGATGCTTTATTCTATGGTTACAGACTGTATGTCACTAACCTCTTGCTATTCAAAGTCTGGTCTGCAGACAGACAGCATCCTTGTCATCTGGAGATTGATACAAATCTAGAATTTTTGGTTCCCGCTCCAAACCTACTGAGTCAAATCTTGAGTTTATCAAGATCCCTGGGTGATTTGTTTATAGTCAAGTTTGCAAAGCACTGCCCTTATATGTGGACAGTTTGCTGCACAAGGTGTGCCCGTGGTTGTGAAGTATCCCAGAACAAGTGTGTGTATGGATCAGTGTCAGTCCTATGCTCCCTGTGTGTGAAAGACGGTCATAAAGCTTGCTTTGCACATTGGTAGCACATTGTGACTATATGGTTTTCTCGTGCTGCTTTGCATGTTATCTCTCCCTACCTCCATCTTTCCTGTTTTCTTTTTTTTCTTTTTTAAGAGAAGCAACATTGAATAACAGTCTGATGAGGCTAAGGGAACAAATCGTTAAAGCCAATCTGTTGGTGAGAGAAGCTAGTTACATCGCAGAGGAGCTGGATAAAAGAACGGAATATAAAGTCACCCTCCAGATCCCAGCCTCCAGCTTGGATGCCAACAGGAAGGTGGGGTGCCGTTCCTTGACAAAACAGACATGTCATTGATGAGATTGTGTTATGTTTCATCTGTGTGATTGGAATCCCAGTGGGTTTGAGCCCAAATCCTCTCTAGGCCCCTTCCCTTGTGTGTCAGATTCAGGTCACTGTGACAAAATATCTGACATGAGCAACATAAGGAAGGGGTAAGATTTATGTTAGCTCATGGCGTCAGAGGTTTCAGTCCATAGCCCTTGGCTGTGTTGATTGTAGGCAGATTCTGAGGCAGAGCATCATTGCAGTGGGAGCACATGGCAGACGTGAATCAGAGGGGGGTACGGGGTGGGGCCTAGGGGAAAAATGTCCCTCAAGGACACACTAGTGACACTTCCTCCAACTGCCTCCTATTTTTCACCACCCCACTAATGCCACCCACCGTGAGTTCATCAAAGGCTCAGTCCATTCCTTAAGTCAGAACCTTAGGATCCAGTCCCTCCCAGAAGCCCATCAGCTGGCAACCATGCTCCTGACACATGAGCCTGTAAGGGACATTTCTTTCTTTCTTCTATTTTTGGTACTGAGTTTGAACTCAGGGCCTCACATTTGCTACATAGGCGCTCTTCCACTTGAGCCACTCCAGCAGCCTTGTTTTGTGTTGGGTGTTCTTTGAGATAGGGTCTTGTGACCTGTTTGTCACGGCTGGCTTCAAACCTTGATCCTCCTGCTTCCCAAGTAAGTAGGAATATAGGCGTGAGCCACAGACACCTGGAGAGGACATTTCATATACAGACCATAACCTTGAGATCCTTGTGTCTGCTTTTGAGTAGAATTGCTTCAATCCCCCTCCCCCATCTTTATTTTATCCACTGGGAATATACATTGCTCCACCTTTTCTGGCCCTCCCACTTTATTTTATTCAGCTCTCTTCATATCTGTTTATGTGATTTCTGAGGAGTTTGTCCTGATCAATCTTGGTAAAGTGATTTTTCCTTCATTTGTTACCACTCCATAGCTTCTTCCCCCCAAGTCAGGGGTTCACTTTACTGCATCACATTATTTTCCACCTGCTAATAGGTTGCTGTGTAGGACTGTCATTAGTTGTTTCCTGTGTGTATTTAAGATCACAAATCTCTCTTTTTGTGTAATGTAATAAGTTTAAGAGAATTATGTGGGAAAGCCCTGTCACACAATATTCTGTCCTTAACGTTCAGATACCCTCCTCTCTCCCTCCCCCTCCCCTCTCCAGGTTCTTTTGTAGCTCTTGATCAGGTTCATGTATAGTTTTTGATGGATTAGGCAGTGCTCCACTCATAAACTTTTGGGGAGCCAGCATGGTCTCTCCCATGGTACTTAACACAGCAAAGCTGTTGTCATTGGCTGTTCCGGATGTTCTGTACTAATGTAACAGCCAGAGTCACTTCTTTTCCTTCTCCTCATAGCATCAAGGTCATTGTTTTTCACAGATCAGATATTTAGCAAATATGAGTCTTAATGTTTTCAAAGATACTGTGGAAGTGATATAATCAGTACTGTTTAGATCATTGCCTTTTGATGTATACTCTGTGTGTAGTTTGAAGGATTTTGCTTAAAACTTTAGGTGCTGGGGGAGTTGGCTCAAGTGGTAGAGCAGCTGCCTAACAAGTGTGAGGCCCTGAATTCAAACCCAAGTACCACCAAAAAACCGAAAACAGAAATCTTTGTTTTACTGATTATTACTTGGTAGAACAACAGAGAGACTTACAGACCAAAAAGAAAAGATCTTTCTCCCTATAGAACATGAGTTGAGTAAACCAGGACTGAACATTTTTTCCCCCATTAAGATGACTGTAGGCCTTTTTGCTGTATCTTGTTTTGAGCTTTATTTGAAAGTACACCTTTGCTTTGGGGCAGCCAGGTCAACACCTACAAGTGCTTTGTGTTACTTTGAGTTCTCTCTCCTCCCAACCACTCAATCGTGTCTCTCTGGGTTCTTTCTGTTGCTGATGGCGATGTCTAGCATTGCTACATTGGATGAGCCTTTTTGGTTTTTTTTGAGACAGGGTCTTGCTATGTAGCTGAGGCTGGCCTCAAACTCTTCATCTTTCTTCCTCAGTCTACCATGTGATGGGATTACAGCCAGCACCTGGCTGGCTGAGCTTTTTTTTTTTTTTTTTTTTTGTGGTATTGGGGTTTGAAGTCAGGGACTTGTGCTAGGCAGGAGCTCTACCACTTGAGCCATGCCTGCAGTCATTTTTGCTTTATTTTTCCAATAGGGTCCTGCTTTTATGTCTGGGCTAACCTGGACCTTGATCCTCTTATTTATGCTTTCTGAGTAGTTGGGATGACAAGCACTTGCCACCACACCCAGCTTTTATTGGTTGAGATGGAATCTATTAAACTTTTTGCCTAGACTGGCCTCTAACTGAGATCCTCCCAATCTCTACTGCCCAAGTACCTAGGATTATAGGAATGAACTACCCCAGCTACTAACTCACTGTGTTGTGATGGACTTAACTAGACTGGTATTTCTGGGTACCAGCCATTGCTTTCTAGCCCCAGGCCTCTGTTCTCCCAGTACCCATAAAGCACTAATGGGATTTCTGTATTTGCTGACCAGTTACTGGAGATAAGGGAGAAGGTCCTTTATAGCATGTGAAAGAATTGTGTATTTTGGCTTTAAAATGATCAAATCTGTTTTATTGTGTTAGTTTTGTTTCTTTGGAAATGACTATAGACTGTATATTAATAGAATGCCAGTGCATTTTACAGGTCTAAGGAGACATACCAGACAATTGATGAGTTAAATCAGTAAATCAGAATTAATTAGGTAGCCAATAAATGCATCTCTATGGGGAAGATATATAGTAACTTTAAAAAATTTTCTGTGTTTTGATTTAAAAAATTTACAGGTTCATGCTTGTAATCCTAGCTATTTGATTGTCTAAGATTCAGAGGATTGAGGTTCGATGCCAACCTGGGCAAATAGTTCAAGAGAGCCTATCTCCAAAATAATCAGCAAAATGGAATGGAGGCATGGCTGAAGCAGTAGAGCATTTGCATTGTAAGCATGAAGCCCTGAGTTCAGATCCCAGGCTCACGAAAAGCAAAACAAAACAAATCATTACTTGCTGGGCATGGTGGTGTACACCTGTAGTTCCAGCACTTGGGAGGCTGAGACAGGAGGTTCCCTTGAGCTTAGGAATTGAAAACCAGCCTAGGGAACATACTGAGAGTGAAATCAGTCAATCAGTCAATCAATCAACAGATGTAAAACAAAACAAAAATAATTACTACTTTTATAAGCTGGAAAACTTCAATGAATACATTTTTTGAGGTGACATTCACATAACATTACTATTCTAGCGTGAATAATAAATTCAGACCGTATACTTGGAAGCTGGTATTTTTTTTTGGGCTTCCAAATGGTAAATGGGATACTTTTTATAGTTAAAAATTTTGTAGTTACTCTTTTAAAACTTTACTCTTTTAAGCATTATCATACTAGCCATTCAAAAAAAAATGAAAGACTCTTACTTTTGCAAGTAAAAGATAGTTTCTTAACCATACATTTCAGGAAACTTCTCTTGCCTTTCAGTATGTAAGGCTCTTCCTACCCATTGTTATTCTGTAGTCATATGATGGCGTGAGTCAGGCATTTTTATTTTGACTTCCTATTAAACACAGTCTATGCTTTTGGGTTTTAAATTTAAACTTTTATCCAACTGTAATCAAATTTAAATGTAAATTTACACAGAAACACAAGTTTCTATGGAAATTTTAAGCTTTGATTGCAGTTGAATACGAAGGCATGGTAAAGGTTGTCAGAACTTAGGGAAACTTTGCAGCCAGCAGATTGGTGTAAAGCCTGGTGACTGACAGGTGTCGATGCTCAGTGTTGGCATCCCCAGTGGGTACCCGAGTGTTTCACACAGGCATTCTGCTCTCCTGCAGCGAGGCTCTCTTCTCAGTGAACCTGCAATCCAGGTGAGAAGAAAAGGAAAAGGAAAGCAGATTTGGTCTTTGGAAAAACTGGAAAACCGGCTGTTGGACATGAGAGACCTTTATCAAGAGTGGAAAGAGTGTGAAGAAGACACCCCGGTAAGTTATTGAAGAAGAGTAGCTTAACTGGGAGTCATGAAGGAGCCTAGGGGGGAGTGAACCTTCCCAGGCCAGGGTAAAATTTTCATTTTCCAAAATTGTCCTTTTTCTAGAGTAAAATTTATTTCAATCCTCTAAATTGTTTGCCTAAGAATTTTAACAATCTGTTCTTCTGGTATCTTCCTTTTCCTTCTCTTCATTTCTCTTGTTGGATTTCTAGCAGAATCTTCACTTTCCATCTGCTTCTATTGGTGAGCCTGCCTATTCTCCTATGCTGCTCTGGGATTCTCTTTAGGATGGGGCCAAGCTTTGTAACCCCCCTCCCCATTTCTCAGCTCATTGAACCATGCAAATAATAAACCCAAAATACCTGTTTTTTAAATTGAACATTACTAGTACCTTAATATTTACACTCTTAGGAACTTTTTTATTTTTAAGAAGAAGAAGTGTTGACCTTAAAATAGGTGCCATCCATTTCTGTACTGGTATTGAAACCTGCCCCTCAGTTGGCAGGCTTTCTCATTTAGGTCAGCCATGTGCTTGTGTAGATGTTTAAAATAGAAATATGTGCCATGTATTTTCAATACCAGCAGCCCTCTTTTTACATACAATTGTTTACTTCTTTAGCTTTTTGATTTGTAAAAATGTTTATTTTTCCAGATTGTCATCAATATAATTGAGTTTTTATAGTTAGATTATATTTTGGCTTAAAAGTTGTCTTCAGTATTCTTTGTCTATTTCAACTTAGAAATTAAACAGCAATAACAAATATAAACAAGTCAGTTGCTCTCCTCTGAGGGGGTTACCTCTGATTTATAAAAGCATGTCTTAAAGATTTGAGAGGAACAAAAGGAACAGGTATGTATGACAATCTTCCCTAAATGAAAAATGAAGAGTTTAGTATATTCAGCTTCTCTTCAGCTACTATGTTAATTCTCTATTTTTACAGCAAGATTTACACATAAAAGAGAAATGATAGTGTTTTGGGGATGCTGGCCACCATTCTAAGAGAGAGAGAGAGAGAGAGAGAGAGAGAGAGAGAGAGAGAGAGAGTGTTTGTGTGTGTGTGTGTGTGTGAATAACAGTGTTATGCTTCAGCAAGAACCTTAGTTTACTCTAAAAAATACAAGAGTCAGGATATAGCAATGAAAGTTCAATTACTTTTTAAAAATTAATTTTTTTTTTTGGTAGCATTAGAGTTTGAACTCAGGGCCTGTGTGTGCTAGGCAGGCTCTCTACCACTTGAGCCACACCCAGCCTTTTAATCACTTTTAAATTAGAGTGCATCAAATAGTAGGTTACATGCATTTATTTTGTGTGATTTGTTTTTTAAGTTGTATGTTTCAAATCTCTTTTAGGTAATCCGGTCTTACTTCAAGCGTGCTGACCCCTTCTATGATGAGCAGGAAAATCACAGTCTCATTGGAGTGGCCAATGTTTTCCTCGAGTCCCTTTTCTATGATGTGAAGTTGCAATATGCTGTCCCAATTGTCAATCAGAAAGGAGAGGTTGGCTTGTTCTTTGTGCCTCAGTTCCTACAGAGAACAGTTTAGGGAATGGGAGGGTGGTGGGGAGATACAGTTGCTTCTATTTTTTAATCTCACAGTGATGTGTATGTATGCTAAGAATGCTTTGTGTTTCCATAGGGCTTTATGGGGGTTAGTCCTGGTACTTTGAGTGCAGAATAACTGTTGGAAACTAGCCTTCTCAGTTCTCACATACCGTTAATCTGACACCTCCGTTCTAACATGGAAGAGGAGTCTCAGAGGCAGAAGGAACCAAATCCAGAAACCAGTGTTTGCTTTGCCTTATTGCTTGCTCTAGGTGGCAGGTCGGTTGCATGTGGAGGTAATGCGGCTCAGTGGTGCCATCGGGGAGAGGATTGTGGGAGGTGAGGAGGCCGCAGAGGTCAGCTTTGAGAAGGAGGCCCAGGAGAACAGGCTGGTCTGTATGGTAAGTCCTATGTCCAGTTTAGAAGTAGGCCAGGTGTGGCTGGTTTTGAGTATTGTGGGTATTTGCATAATAAATCTTAAAACTTTGAAAATGTCTGTCTCCAAATAAATCTGTTATCATTTGGTATTCTAGGGACCATATTTTGTCATATATCCCAAAGCAATGGTTTGGCATTTCCAGTACTACTCTAGGAGGCTTTGGACGAGTCACCTCTTTTTCTCTGGGCCATCAGGTTCTGAGTCTGTGTTTATCTGTACTGCTCTGTGGAGAAGCCCTAGTTTCCCACACCAGTTTCCTCCTCCCTCTTGTTGGGGTTTTTGAGTCTTGCTAAAGGTGGGCATTTATCCCAGCCTTGGTCCTGTCCCTAAGCTGCTGCTATAGGGCATAGCCCTATGCAGTTTCTGTGCCTTTGCTTATGCTGTGCCAGCACACCCCAATCCCAAGCTCTTTTCCATCTGTCCTGCCATGTGTGCTATTCATGACATGTATGTCAGGTTTTTACCTCTCAGACATTGTTTCAGGTGCTAGAATACAAAGAATGAGTAGGGCCAGGCTCTGCTGTCCAGTGGCTAGACCCACCCAGCTGGTTTGGTGGGGTAGGGGACATGCAGGTATGTACAGAAGTCTCCAGTGTGATATGAGCCAAGTGCTCTGACAGAGCAGGCACACACGGGAGAGGTAGCTGATTCAGACAGCAGGGGATGAGGGAGAATTCTGGAAAATGAACTCAGGCTGAGCCTGTGCAAGAACCATTTATAGAGAAGGTTTTTGATGACAGATCACAAGGGGCGTGTGCTGTTGAAAGGAGGCCATTAAAAGGTAAGTGAAGGAAGCCTAGATCTAACTCTTCATTTGAAACTCTTAGGTCAGTCCTCTTCCTCAGTAAATATTTCTGGAATTTGAGTTGATGTGGAAAGGAGTTGCACATTAGCTGCATGGTACAGGGAAGCTAACACTGTTAAAGAGTCATTATCCAAAATTATTAATTCTTTAACATCATGAATGTGCAGTCAGTTCCCTTAGGTGTCTTGGCTGATGTATTGCCCAAGTTCTTTCCATCTCTAGGTTTTGGTTCTCTCTCTCTCTCTCTCTTTTTACTTTCTCTTTTTTTTTTTCCTCATTCTCTCTTACCCTTCATTTTTGTTGTTTTTCTTAACCTGCTAAGACAGGATGGATATGATTTGGTATAAAGGTGTTACATGGTGGGGGATCCAGTGTACTTTATAAATAGAGATATGTTCTCTTTCAGTTAATGTTTGGTAGTACTGGAGTTTCAACTCAGGGCCTTGCACTTGCTAGGCAAGCCCTTATCACTTGAGCTATGCCCCCAGAACCTTTTTACTTTAGTTATTTTTCAGATAGGGTCTCACGCTTTTGGCCAGGGCCAACTCTGGATCATAATTCTTCTACTTACACCTCATATGTTGCTGGGATTACAGGTGTGTACCACAATTCTCAGTTCTTTTTTGTTTTGTTTTTGGTAGTACTGGGGTTTGAACTCAGGGCCTTGGGCTTGCTTTCCAGCTTGTTTTTTGAAATAAGGCCTAACTTTTTGCCTACTAATAGGAGTGTGATCCTCCCATTTTTGCCTCCTGTATACCTGGGATTACAGTTTTGGGTCACTGCACCCAGCCCCGAGCCTTTTAAGAAAATTTTTAAATTTCATTATGAATTCTTAGACTTACACACATTTGTGTTTCAAATTGTGTAATTACCTATAATTGAGGCTCTGATGTGCCCATCTTTGAGTCCTGTTGACGTTACTATAACTCTCACTGGCTACGATAACTTTTTGTTATGATGACTATTCAGATCTCAGCCTAAACATTTACTGCCTCACACCTGGATTCAGCTTTTTTTCTCCAAGGAACCTTACTCTTTTCAGTGGAAAGTACTTTTTAGAGACCATGTGCAAGGACAAAACTGCATGGCAGTTAAGTGCTGGTGGAGAAACAATGACGATGCTGTGGTTGGGGAGAATCACCGGCCCATACAAGAAGTCTGAACTGGTTTACCAGTGAAAGAGTGTGCACATATACTGTTTCCAGTGATATTAAGTAAAGCTAGTATATTTGAAAGGCCCAGATAACAGCCATGCCTGCCATGCCTTTGACTCCTTGGTATTGAGCAGCTGCAAATTGAAGTCTGTGGTATTCTGACACCTTGTGGTGATTTTAATTTTTGTACATAAAAACTTAAAAAAAATACAGCCAACCCATGTTCTAGATGTGTAGATCGTCCTCATCCCTCAAATTCTTCCTCCTGGCAGTCTAATTTCTCAGGTCAGCATATTAAATCTTGTTTTTTTATTAATTTCAACCTTAAAATTGAGATTAATTTCTATAGAAAAATGGCTTCCAGTCCAAAGAAGTCTGTATTGAACATTACTCAGACCCTAAACCTACTATCATTCCTTTCATTCTTTTTGTTGGTGTGGTTGTCTCACCCAGTATCATAGGGTAGCTATTAATATTCTCTTTTCTCCCAGGAGAAAGCCAAGCCTAAGAAAATGAAGAATTTAAGTAATTTATGACAGCATGCAAACTAATATGTGGCAGAGGTTTTGTTTAGGTCTATGTACCTGCAAAATCTTCCCACGTACCCCATTGCCTCATCTTAAAGAATATAATGAACATTTAAAACATTTAATGAAAAAATTTATCTGAAAGAATCCATGAAAAATTAATTGTACAATACTGATTACTCAGTTTAGTTTGGAGGAATAAAATGTGTCAGCCAATCTGTCTTTCATAACTTTTTGGGAAATTGCTGTCTAGATGTTTCAAATTTGTTGACAGCATAGGGATAAAAATGAATTAAACTAGAGTTCCTATTTGTTGCAAACCCATTTCGTGTCTGGTATAAAGGAAATCTGCTTTGTGTGATTGTCTGTGTTCCTATCAACACTTGCATTTGTGGTCGCTGCAGTGCGTGAATTTATGCCACATGTTTAGCTTCATTTTCATTAAACTTATTTAGTAGATGTAGAATAAATCATATATCATGTGGGAAGTAACCACAGGAAGAATGTGGTTTCTGATGAATTGTTTGAAAATTGAGAGTGTTGTTGACCTTAATTAACTTTAGGATTTAGTGTCCTTCATAGTCAGAGGAGTCTTAATAGACTGAATTTCTGCACACACACAGAAATTCAGACTGAAATCAGCCCAAAGCCTCTGTCAAAATAAATGGGAAGAATGGTTGGCTGCCTTAAAATCTGGCATAGGCATTTGTTCTGGAGCATGGGGTCCAAGTAGGCAGGTTTCTAACTGCACTTGGCCATCCAGACTATCATCCTCTTGTCCAGTGCTGCTTTCTGGAATTCCTCCCTCACCTGCATGATGAAGGCCCTCAATAAATGCTGGCACACAGGATGGTGAGCACTGCCATCTTAATTCCCTTCCCACCCTGCTCTCTATTCCAGACCTTTAGACCCCACATTCTCAAAGTTCTCCAAAAACCACATGCTGTAATAGCATGTAGCATTTCTACAGAGCATCTCGTTCCTTCTTGTATTTTAAAATACTTAGTAAATATCTTGTTGTTTCCTGAATACTTGCTGCTTATTGGTATAAATATTAATTTTGTTTTTCATTCATTGTACTTAACTGTTGTGTTTTTGCCATATCACATATCCATGGTTAACCAAATGCATATCACCAAGTGGTGTTGATGTTCCAGGACTTTCTTCTGAATTGATGATGATGTCCTTATTAGGTTCTAAGAAGCTAGAACTTAAGTGTTCTTCAGCAGCCTCTAAGTGCTTTATTGTGTCTGCCTTTATCAGCAAGTCATTGTTTCCCTATGTCAGACTTCTCATTAAGTATTAACAGTCATGGTCACCATTTCAAGTGCAAGGACACAGCCTCTCAGTAAGTGGGATGTGGCCAGAGTAAACAAACACTATTGACAGGACAGGAAGCCACATCTCTGACTCCACTACTTCTTGGTTAATACAACAGAACAATAGAACCTTCTTTTCCCTTTAGGTTAAAATACTCCAAGCCACAGGGTTGCCACAGCATCTGTGCCACTTTGTATTCTGCAAATACGACTTCTGGGATCAGCAGGAGCCGGTGATTGTTGCCCCTGAAGTGGACACCTCCTCCTCTCCCATCAGCAAGGAGCCTCAGTGCATGGTTGTCTTTGATCATTGCAGTGTGAGTTTGTTTCCTAGCCTAGGTCAACATATAAATAAAACTAAAAATGAGCTTATTTCTTTGAATAATTGTGCCAATATATATCTTGGAATAGTTTTTTACTGGCAATGGAGTCAGAAATCAAAGTGTCAATGCATTTAACTTGTCCAAAATCAAAGTTAACTTTTGTTTAAAAAAGAAAAAAAAATGTGTGTGTGTGCTGTTCTCCAGAGGGATCCATGTTTATATTAATTAGGCTACTGGAGGAATTGAATGAAAAGATTAAGAAGCTAGTGTTTTAGTGAAAATGAAGGTAACAGACAAGAAAGCTCTTTATTGAGCACCTGGTGTTCTGAGAATCTTGTGACTCTGGTCCTTACCAGTTATATTTAACCATAGTACATTTTTTCAGGTGAAGAAACCATGGACACTCTGCCCATGTTACAGTCACTGCCCTGTGGCTAGTAATCAGCAGAACCTGGCCTAGGGGGGTTCCAGAATCTTTGGGCTACTACACCACACTTGATTTACCTCTTTCTCTCCCTCCCTCTCTCCCTTCCCTCCATCCTTTCTTCCCTCCTTCCTTCCTTCCTTCCTTCCCTGCCTCCCCCCACCCTTTCTAACCTGTATAAAACAAAAGATATATTTTTAGTGTATTAAAGGTGATCAGAAAGGGTGCGGAGAGATGCTGCCAAGAGATGGGAAGTTCCATGACTTTATTTAATTTTGCAATTAAATCTTAATTGCAAAAGAATGTCTTATAAAAGATTGTGAAAATTTTTACAACTTAGGCTTTTTTTTTGCACTAGTGATCATCTCCTTTCCTATTATTTGAGATAGTTAACCTCCTAAAAACTGTGAAAAATCATTTTTGTAACATACTACTACCTATTGCATATAGCGGCTTTTATATCAAGCCATTATAAGTCATTGTTGTAATACTTAATATGATTACTTTTTTGTGGTACCGGGATTTGAACTCTGGGCCTCATACTTACTAGACAGGTGCTCTACCACTTGAGTTACTCTGCCAACTCTTTTTCATGTTGGATATTTTTGAGGTAGAGTTTCATGAACTATTTTGACCAGACTGGCTTAAAAAAACCCGTGATCCTCCCAATCTCTGCCTCCCAAATAGCTAGGATGACAAGCATGACGCACCAACACCTGGCTTCTATTACACTTTTTAAAAAAAACTCCCCAAACCCGGGGAGTTATTTTTAAATATGGGCATCAAACAGTGATCCTCTGGATCTGTGCCTCCTGAGTAGCTAAGATTACGAATGTGAGTCATGTGCCCAGCCACACTAGACTTTCAGAGTGAAAAGTCTTAAAATTTTCTAGTTATGGTTATTTTTAAAGGTGAGAACCTCAGTTCCTCTAAGCATTCATCATTGGTATGGATGACAGTTCTGTTCTGTGAAGACACTGTTTTCTACTTCTTTCTTCCCTTATGTAATTAAGTACATGATTAAGGGTTAAAGGGAATGATGAAAGTAGTTGTGATGTAAGTAATGGTAAGATTACCAGCAAGTTTGCTGTTCTGTAATTAGCTGTTGTGTTTCAGGAGTTCTCTGTTAATATCACTGAAGACTTTATTGAGCATCTTTCGGAGGGGGCACTGGCGATTGAAGTGTATGGCCATAAAATGAATGACCCTCGGAAGAACCCAGCCCTGTGGGATTTGGGAATCATCCAAGCAAAAACTCGGAGTCTTCGGGACAGGTGAATTTCAGATGTCCTTCAAATTCCACATAAAGTTTTAGAATGTTGTTAGAGATTAATGCTGTCGTTTATATGGGCAGCCATTTCCTGAGCATCACCAGGTTCCGGGCTAGACCGGGCTGTCTCCAGAGCATTGCTCTCACAGCACAGTTTCCTTAGGGCAGTAAACTTTGAAAAACGGTGAAGGAAGTATGTAGGTGTTTAAGAAAAACTGGTGAGATGAGGGCTAGGGACGCACATGGCCCTGCCCAAGTTCAATCCCCAGTACTGCAAAGGGGAAAATAGAACTAGTGAAATGAATTTTTAGAGAATGGTCGGTTATCACTGCAAATTGTCTCTAACTCAGCAACCACTGAGAGACGGATGAGATCTACTGGGTGAACAGTCTCTTTTTGGGTGGCATTAATGATGGGATGCATAGGACTGTTTGTTAACTTGGAAGAAAGAGTTAAAAGGGAATAACTGAAATAGAAGATGTTTTTACTTTCATCTAATTGTAGACAAGAACCAGATTTTCTTTCTTTTTTTTGCATTTAGAAAGTTTTAGCAAATCCTAAATTAGAAGGTGACATTTTTTCCTTAATTCTTTTATTGACCTGAGAAAGGATACTTGTCAAGTCACTGGAGCATATGGCACAACCTTTATCTGTCTATGAAAAGAAAATCTCTGAACTTGTTTCTGTACATCTGAGTAGAATGTTTCAGTTATTGAGTAACCATTTTGAAAAAGATTTGTCCTTATCATATCTTTCTGAACAAAATAAAAGTGCCACAGACTAGAGTTGTATCTCATAGGTAGAGCACTGTGCAAGGCCCTGGGTTCAATCCACAGTGTCTCAGAGAATCCCATTTCTAGTTATGATATTAAGTTAGTTCAGCTTTGTTTTTCATTGTATCCACTGGTATATGCTTGTATGATTCTCGTTAAACTGCAGAACATTCCACTGTGTTGTCTGTCATTTTCATTGTTAAGTCTCATGCATACAATCCTAAGCTGCCCATATAAAGGAGAAATGTATAATTTCCCAAGAACCTCAATTGTTTCCTAGGTGGAGTGAAGTCACCAGGAAACTGGAATTCTGGGTTCAGATCTTGGAACAGAATGAGAATGGGGAATACTGCCCTGTGGAAGTGACTTCTGCAAAGGATGTCCCAACAGGGGGAGTCTTCCAACTCCGGCAGGTAACAAGATCATGAATGTTCATGTTGGATTCTTTTTTTAACAGAAATGTTGATAATGAAAACAAGATTGGCCAAGCCCATTTCTCTTGTTAAAATTATCTCTACTTCCTGTGTGTTTTCTTTTATTGTCATGAATCTTGCTATTTATGATACTTTAAAACCAACTTCTAGTAGGGTTGAGAAAAAAATAAGCTTTAAAGGAAAACTTAGAACTGAATAGTAGGACATAATGCAAACATTTCAAGCACACTAGCACATTATTACTGCAAGGAGGAGAAGCAGGGCAGAGAGAATTAAACAGTACAGGGGCTGCCATGCTGGGGCTTAATGCTGGCCCCACTGTGTCCTGGCTGTATGCCTGTGAGCACCTTCAGCATCTGCTCGCCTTCACCTGGAATATGGAACCAATGATAGCATCAGCCTTATGGGTTTCGTGTGCGAATTAGAGATGCTGCATATAAAGCACAGTGCTTAGTACATAGGAGGTGTTAAGTAAAATGCAGCTGAATAGATACAAGTACATATGTGTTGAGAGGTGACAGTGGTCACTTTACCCCAGGCATGTCTGACAAGTAACAGTGAGAGGAAAAATCCTAATAAAATTAGTATAAATGATTTGCAAATCGTCTTTTTGCTTTGCACTAATCTACCATTTAGTAGACTACTATACCCTATGAGAGTTTCTATAAAACAATAATAAAATATTAGATTAGCTCTAGAAATGGATGTTAAGAGCATTCAGAAAAAAATATGAGGAAAGGTTAAAGGAAAGAGAATGTTTGCTTAAATATTTAAGTTTCTGAATGTTTTTGGAGGAGGAGGATGATAAATACTTGCTTCTGATCCCAGAAAAATGAATTTTAGCAGCTGTGTTCATGTATGGGCAAGGAATTAAGAGCAAAAGGAGATGAGTTGAAATTGCAGTATGACATATATACATAAAATAGAATGCTTAAGGGTGTGAAAAACATCTTTTTCTGGGAATCTGTTAAAATATGTGTGTGTCTTCCTTGACTGCCTTAGGAATTAAACTACTGGAGGCCAGACCAGATGATCGTCTACAGTTTAGTGCCAATTGGATATTTAAGTGTTTGTCATACTTCTGACAACCTTTACTGGAAGTGTTCAAAGATAACTTTGGGTTGTTAGCATAAGCTTTTATGAAGAATGTGTGTCTTCACCTGGGTACTGAAAAAGTCATGTAAAGTCTAGATAGGTTTTTCTTTATACATAGAAAGAGTAAAGACCTTAAGGCTAGAATTGAGTCAATTTGGGTCACGTGTATAGGAATTGGAAAGCTGGAAGAGATGCCACAGAGGCTTATGGCAGCTGGTTAGACGGCTGTGGATACAAGGCTCACCTGAGTTTAGTATGTGTGACAATAGGGATTTATTGCTCTTGAGGAGGAGGATGGCAGAGGACAGCTTTTAGCATGTGGAAATTGCTGTAGGCAACCAGTAGTCAACACCAATGTTATAAGCTCAGTGTTTTGGTTAGAGTTTGCTTTCCAAAGCTTTTCCATGGACAGCAAGCCATTCCTGACCTTTGCTCCCTTTTCTCACGCTAAACACTAACTCCTTCCTCATTGTCTTATCTCACCTTTTATACATCCAAAATAGGAAAATTACCATAGCTAATTGAAATGATTAAACTATTTTAGACTATTAAAATGTCTTCTGGGGAATATTTTTCCACAAAATGTCTGATGCACAGTCCTTGGAAAATATGAAATCAAAAGGCGTCTGTATTCCATTCATTCAGACGCAGTCTGATAATTGCCTAAGTGGACTTTCCTGATCATGCAAAGCTCTTGAGACCAAAAATCTTTTGGAAGAGGTTAAGAGGAATTGACCTAAAACTGAATATTCATATTGCGTTTTTCAAATGCTATTTTCTGTTGCTAAGATTCGTAAACCAAATGTGAGGTCAGCGACTTAGGAAAACTGGGAATTTTTTTCCAGTGTTACTTCATTGTAAATATGCAGAGTCACATAGGATTTGTTCTAGAAAACCTTCTTAAGTAGCTTCTTTCTGATCAGTTCGTTTTGCACTTCAGCTTAAAATCATCTTTCTTATTTCTAACTCTGCTTGTGTGGTTTTTTTTTTTTTTTTTTTTTTTTTGTGGTACTGGGGTTTGAACTCAGGGCCTACATCTTGAGCCACTCTGCCAGCCCTTTTTTGTGATGGGTTTTTTCAAGATAGGCTCTTGTGAACTATTTGCCTAAGCTGGTTTTGAACCATAACCCTCCTGATCTCTGCCTCCTAAGTAGCTAGGATTACAGGCGTGAGCCAGCAGCACCCCGCTGATTGCTTGTTTTAAAAAGTACACTGTATACTGACTTTGGTAATTGATTTTTAACTTAATATGCCATATATTTTTCTGAAGCAGTATTTTAATGACTATATTTTATTATATATGCCACAGTTCAAACAGTTTTAACTGTTGTACATTTATGTCCAATTTTTTGTTATTCTTCACAGTGCTTTCAGATTATTTATGATGTGCATGATTATTTACTTGTAGCATATCTCTAGAAAGTTGAATTTCTAGGGCAAAAGGATACTTATATTTTTGAGTCATACTGCTTAGAGAAAGCATGTATCAGATTAAATCCCTGCCTCACAGTGTTTGATATTGCCTGCTTCATCAAACTTGGGCAGTATTGAAAATTGCCCTTTCCTATTCTAATTGCTAGTTTAGAAAGTGAAAGTAAAGTGTATCATGCTTATTTCAATTTGTATTTGATTGTCAGTAAGTTGAACATCTTATTAGAGAGCTGTTTGCATTTCCTTTGTAGGAATGATTTAAGGTTTCCTTATTGAAGAATTATATGAACCATATCTTTATTCTGTGTCTTTCTGCTTGCTTAGCAGTGAAGTAAGTTCTCCTGACTTGTTTTGAATTTGTATTTTAGTGTTTAACATTTATAGGACAGACAAATTAGCTATCTCTAAAGTCAAACGTTTTTCCCAATGTCAGCCTGTAGGGGTCTCTCTAAACCAAATTTTTGGAAATGAGGAAACTGATTTTGAGACTCCAAATTTTCTAATGCAGGGGCAGTCCCGGCGAGTTCAAGTTGAAGTGAAGTCTGTTCAGGAGTCTGGGACTTTACCTCTGATGGAAGAATGCATATTATCCATTGGCATTGGGTGTGTGAAAGTTAGGCCACTCAGATCCCCTAAGACTCAAGAGACATTCCACGTAAGTTTTTATGCCTGTTTTGTGCTTATTGAAAGATGAAAGCAGACTAGAGTTTTCTGGAGGAGCCCGTCAGAACACTGCTTCTGGTGAACAGTTCTGTCAGAACCTCTTCTTTTCCTATGATGTCTCCTTCAGTGCATTGCATTCATGTGGAATCACCTCGGCAGACTGTTACTGGCTTTGCCTGGTACATGGTGAGCTGAGGGTTAAAACCTCTCAGCCTGGCAGACTCCACAGTGCCTAGCAGTGATTAACCTCCTTTACATACCTCCTCTTTCCCCCTGCAGAAACCTCCCACTGGCTTGTTAAAGACTCTTTGCCAGCAGGTGTTTGATTTCCCCTGGTGAGTGGGACTGTAAGCCCAGCAGGGAAAGCATTGTACTGGTTCCTGAAAAGGTCAAAGGAGTGCTCTTCACTTTCCCTTGAGAAGCTTCCTGACAACTGTAGAGCTCAAAGTGAGGCTAAGGGTGGGTGGGCCAGGGTAGTGTATTAATAAATTAGAAGACAAACTGGGGAAAGATTCAGATTGTGCAGGTTAGCCTGATTCTTGGATAAGTAATTATTTTGGTTCTACATAATATATTTATTCTTTTAGGAGGAAGAGGAGGACATGGACAGCTACCAGGTAATTGAGCACCTGTTAGCCTCATCAAATCAGCTTGATTAAAGTACATAATTACACAGTCCAGGACCTTGCTCCATTGTCACTTAATAATTAAACAATTTGGATTCAAATACTGCTTTTTCCTAAAGTAAAACAGATTAGGGAACAAGTATTGTTTTGCATCCCATGGAGGAGATAGCTTATGACAGGTGTCCTTTCCCACACTGGAGCTCCCCAGCAGGCTTTTTAAAGGGCCCTGTTTGGACTCTCTGTCTTTGAGTGGTGTCTCATCCAAAGCCAGTGTCAAGGTGTTTTACATCTTTGAAGTTGAGTCTCCCTCAATGCCCACTTCCTGGAGGCATCCAGGGGTTTTAGGGGGTCCCCCACTTTCTTTTCTTTTCCTAATATGCTACATTTTGTTTATGTCAGTGAAGTTTCATCTTGTTAGTCATCAGGACTGACTGAGCAGTTTGGAGCCTGATTATGTCATTCAGTGTAGTCACTTTCCTGGCTTTGCATCATTCTAATTTGATAGAAATGTCTGCCTTCCTATAAGTCACTGATAAAAACATTGTAGCAGTTGGGTTAAAGCAGAGTCCTATGGCACAACAAGGGAGACTTCTTTTAAGTTGACATTCCATTAATCACTGCTCTTTGGATGTGATGTTTTAGTCCGCTGTAATTTCACATAAAGTAGATGCACTGCACGTTTCTCCATCCTGTCCACAAGAATGTCATAGGCTATTTAGTTAAGTGCCCTAGTGAAATCCAGATACAAGACATCTGCAGCATTCCACTGACCTACTCAGTCTCCTAACCTCATTACAAAAGGAAATGAGGTCAGATTGGCGTGCTTGCAGGTGTTGACTGGTTGTATTGTCTGTCAGTAACAACCCCTGTCCTTTTGCCTCACCCTTGTCCCCCAAAATACACCAAAATGAGAGAATCTAGAAAAACACGTAGAAGGCAATAGTTACAAAATTTGAAACATTCTTCTGATGGTCCCGAGGAATAGAAACCAAGGATTATTGAGTATAATTTGTGAGTTCTGTCCAGTGAAGAGACTGTGTAGAAGATCTTCATTGCTAGTGGAGTTCTACCCCTTGAGCCATTAGAAATAAAGTTGGTTCTATGTACCAAAGTATGCCCTTTCACAGAGAGATCCACACTCTCTTTCTGGGACAGAAAGAGTTTATGTCCTGAATTGCTAGTAGAGTCACTGGTGGTACTAAGAAAGAAATTACTGTGTAATGCTTATATTTTAAAATCATGTTAGAGCAAGGTAAGGTAGAGTGTCAATCTCAGACATACTGTCTGGACATTACATTGAGTGTGACTTCCCTTGTGTTCTTCCAGGATCGGGATTTAGAGAGACTACGTAGAAAATGGCTTAATGCATTAACAAAACGTCAGGAATACTTGGATCAGCAACTGCAAAAGCTTGTCAGTAAACCTGGTAGGAAGAGCAAATGGAATATTTCCCTCTCCCCGTACCAGTGCAGAGTCAACCCCCGTTGATAGCCACCTAAGTTAAGAGCTAGCTGAATGCATCGGCAGTGGGGGTGCAAGAGCAGAAGCATGTCACTCCTCCCTTACTGCACCACACCCTGTCCGGTTGTAAAAATATCCCAGTGTGATCCCTGCCTGGTCCTCCACAAAGTCAGAATATACATCATCCCCAAAATAACGGCAAGAAAGCTTCTTGTCCGAGGTGTCGAGAGTGCTGATTACCAGCACACACTGCTGCACTGTAGACCTTGAATTGCAGGCAACCTCTCTGCAAGAGTCCAGCCTGCTCTCTGGGTTAGAGTCAGTTCCTTATGGCTAGTGAGCACCTGCCACCGGTAACTAAAATGTAAACAGAGCCAGCGTTTTACTCAGGACAGACATGGAAACAGCATGGGGGATATCTGGTTCTGATCCTCCTTCCTGATGTTCTAGATAAAACCGAGGATGATGCTGACCGAGAGGCTCAGCTTCTAGAGATGCGGTTGACATTAACTGAGGAAAGAAATGCAGTGATGGTCCCCTCTGCTGGCAGTGGCATTCCAGGGGCACCAGCAGAATGGTAGGACTCCTACGGTGTGTCTTGTGAAGTTGTGAGTGCTCCTAAGCCCCTCACTTTGCAGCTGACTTCTGCATGTGCTGCAGTTAGTGGTAGACACAGTAATAATGTGAGGATGCAGTTGTCTAAATTAGAGGAACTGTTAAATTATTTCATAGCCTGGTAACTATGGCCCAAAACCGTTTTATGAAATAATATTATTATTGGCCAAAGTAAGATTTCTGAGAACTTTAATCAATATTTAAGTACCACTGCACTTAGCATTAAAAATAGTTAATACGTTAATTACTTGGATCATTCATTCCTTAAAAGAATGTTCCATCATAAGAAGATTGCATCTCCACCAGTTTTTGGTTTTGTTACTGGCTTAAACTGCACTGTCAGCATGTGTTCTCTGCCACTTGTTAGAAATTTAAAAAAGTAAGTTAAGGCACATGGAGCCTGCAAATATATTATTTAATGAAAAAGTGTAAATGGGGCTTCATAATGAACAGGTGTGTGGGTAATGTGCGAATGAGTTCTGGTGTCTGAGTACAGGAAACAACACCTACATTAAGTCTCTGTGGCATCTCTCATGCCAATGATAGTGAAGCCAGTGCCCAGAGTCATTGTTGCCTAGACCTGTAGTAGCAGGGAGTATGTTTTAGGGCTGAGTCCCAAAGTGTGTGCTACTGAGTTGGCTGTGTTTGAAGTGCCATTTTGTCCTTCATTTTTTAGGACCCCAGTGCCTGGGATGGAAACCCACATTCCTGTTATCTTCCTTGATCTAAATGGTACGTTAGAGGGACTTTCTGAGAAACTAATGACTAAAAAGCACTTAGATTCTAACCAAGTGTGTCGTCAGGCAACCTGTCATCCTGAGGTCAGAGTCAGGGTGGTATGTGCCCGCACACTTGGATGCTAGACAAAGACTGAGTTGTTTTGTTAAGTCCTATTTTTATAACAGCAGCAGGCTGTTCCATTATGATGCCTTCTCACATCTCATTGCTACAGCCCCAGTTCTGTGAGCATGCTTTGTTTTTCCATCAGTTTAGTAAGGTAATATTTTTCTGTTCTAAAAATATTTTTGACTTTGATTCTTAAGGGAAGACTTCTCTTTGGAAAGGAGTAATAGCAGTACTATGTAGCATGTTTTCTTTGTGTTGTTTAATGAATTTCTCACTTTTTCTGTGAGCTTTTGTGTATTCACTTCTGCATTGCCTGGAAAAACAACAATAACTGTTGTTTTCCTGACACCCCCCCCCCCACCAATGTCCTCTGCCTGTAGGAGGGAAAATAGAAAAGGAAAGGTCAATTAAGGAGCTAAAAATAAGTTAAAAGTCAGCAGATAAGTTCCTAAAACATCTACAGGAGAACTTTGTAAAATTAACTCCCCTAAGTAGACAAGGTAGGATGGCTTCAGTGACTTCTTTCTACTGAGCAGAAAGTGAGTTATGATGTCAGAGGTACTCAACATCTCATGTTCCTGAGCTCACATATATGGCAGGTTTCTATGTGCACACAATTAAAGTAATACTGGGCCACTTCCACTAGCTGTCCATACACTGAGGTGGGAGTTGTTTGTTTTTTAACTACTTTATAAAACTCTTTTAATTTGTTGGGCTATTGAACCTTGGAGGCTGAGGGTGACTCTGGCCTTTTTTTTTTTCTTTATTGTGTGGTGTAAATGCCACAAAAGATCTTACAATATATCAAATCATACTTGAATTCACCCCTTCCACCATCCTCCTCTATCCCTCCCTCCCCCCATTCCTGGATTCTTATGTTAGGCTTCCTAGATAGGTGAGTGGTATGTGTGTGTGTGTATGGGGGTGGGAGTGATGCATAAAAAAAGTGGGAAAATGAACTTTAGCAAGATCTATTAGCCTGGATATTTGAAGAGATGATCTGGACTTTGTTCAGCACTATCCATATTTGAGGTCTTCCCAAGTCCGTTTACTTTTGGTGCCTCTGTACAAACTTACTATGGGTGGGGAATTGAGAGGGCTGGACTTGGGACTCAGTGACCACAGCACCATGGTGCAGTTTCTAGCTAGGGCCTCCAGTTTCTGGCTCATGTAGCCAGTCCATCCTCCTGTTGAACTCCATTTTTCAGATAATTAGAATCATTTTCACTTATTTCTCATTTCTTTACTGCACTAAAAGGGGGGAAATTTAGGTTGCAGTCCTATCATTTGCATTTATGAGCAGACCCTGAGTAACTTCTTAGGTATCTTGACTCACATTTGCCCTCCATGTAAAATAAGGTGCAAAGGGAGCAACTTGGATAAGATAATTTCTTGAGGCACTTTGTATATATATCTAAGATCTGTGAACTCTTAAATGGTCGTAATTGGTGGCATGTAAGATTTGCAGAGCAAAAAGCAAATGAAACTTAAAGCAGAATTTTATTAATAAGCACATTGAAATTTAGTAGATGGGGGTTATGCTTGAAAATGATCTCAGTGTTTAATGGACCCTCTTTGCTTTCAGCCGATGACTTCAGCTCTCAGGATAATCTCGATGACCCAGAAGCTGGTGGATGGGATGCTACCCTGACTGGGGAGGAGGAGGAGGAGTTCTTTGAGCTGCAAATTGTGAAGCACCATGATGGAGAGGTAAGCCGACAAGCTGGGGACGGTCAGATAAAAAGTAGTTTCCTCAGCCTTTCCAGGAGTCCTTTGAATGGTCAGCAGATGATCATTTCAGTGCTTATATTTTTCAACATATGGAAATGGAAACCTTTCATTATGAATTCCAAAAAGAGTAGAGCTTGGCCCTCACATTCTGCCTGTCTGCCTACCCACTTCCTTTCCTGGTGAGGGTTCTGAATCAGTCTGGACAGCCTAGGCTGGCAGTGGCGCAGGGCTGTGTTCTGTTCCCAACCCTGAGAGGTGGCAGTCAGTGCTGCTGAAGTACAGGGGACTAGCAGGATGCCACCTTTGCATTGGCTTTGAAATTCTTTCAGGGAGACTTCTTTTGAAAGGAGAAAAAGAGTGCTGGTGGTGCACTCCTGTATTCCCAGCACTCAGGAGGGTGAGGCAGGGGGATTGTGAGTTTGAGGCTAGCCTGGGCTACATAGCAAGACCCTGTCTCCAAAAAAAGAGCAAAAGAATAGATAACGGCAGTATGTGTGGTGGAATCTCAATTTTGATGTGTAGGGGTTATTCCCTAATTTTGACTATGCTTGAAAAATTATATCAAGTACTTCAGGAACAAAAGCTGATGTGTAGCCATCATTTAGTGATGTTCCTAATATGCAAGCCTTGAATCTAGCACAAGGGAACACTCACTCACCCTGAGCTGCATTCTGTTAGGATGGCGGGCCTGCCCTCTGCTCCTTTACCAGTGTCAGTTGTGATGAGAAAGGCTGCGGGACTATTCCAGTCTTAGAATTCAAGGACCCAGCAGCTAAATGCAGTTTGTGATGCTTGGCTGGGAGCATGGACAAATTTGAATATGGACTCCATAAAAAATAATAGCATTGTGTTGATACTAAGTTTCTTGTATGTGACAGTGGTCTGCAGCTTGCTCAAAGGTGGTTCAGCAAAAATAATAGTATGTGAGCATGCTTTGTGATAAAGACAGAGAAGCAGTGGTGGGCACATGTTCACAGTGGGTGAATCTTGAGGAACGATATACAGGAGTCTACTGAAGTGTTGTAACTTTTCTTGATCTTTGAGCATTTAAAAAACTAACAACAAGCAGCCGAGCTGCTATCATGCCCTATACTTTGCAGGCTAAGGCGGTGAAGGCCACACCCTCACATTCCCTCATCTTTTCACATCATTCTCTTGGAAGAACTTCAGCCCAAGCAAAGATGGTTTCCTTGAGAGTGTCTTTGTGTTTCTGGAGAAGAGAGCAAAGTGCTGTCTCCTGTCTCTGCAGGTGAAAGCAGAGGCCTCCTGGGACTCGGCGGTGCACAACTGCTTCCAGCTCAGTAAAGGCACACCTGCTGATGAGCGCATGTTCCTGATCGTACGTGTGACCATCCAGCTCAGCCATCCTGCTGACATGCAGCTGGTACTACGTAAAAGGATTTGCGTTCATGTTCATGGCCGCCAGGTAAGGCAGTGACTTTGACCACATGTGTTACCGATTGGTCCAGGACCATCATGCTAGCCTTCAGATATGGCCTATGGAGCTCTGAACTTTGCTTTTCCAGGTGTCTGTTCTGTCCTATCGCCATGCTGCCTCAGTCCTCAAACAGGCCATCCCCATCTGCTCCCAGGCAATGTGAAATTGTCATGGAATCTCTCTGAAGGATGAATCACAAAGTACAGTCATTCTTTTGGGTGCCTCAGAGTCCTGTCAAGGGGATGTTCAGTGGTATTGTTGTTGCCTTTTCTTCTGGGTACTGCAAGATGAGGTAGTTCCTGGCAGATCAGCTGTCACTTCACTAGCATGGCTGCTTCCCTTCTGTTTGTAGACTTTCTTTTCTCTGAGCCTTTCATTCATCTAATTGGCTTTGGGATAAAAGGTGAATAGGAAATAGTCTGTGTCTTTAAAGAGCTGAAGTCCATTGCATGCGTGGGAACCTTAGTAGACACCTACTCTGAGTTGAGTGCTGGGATGAGGACAGAGTGCAGACCACATTGCTGAGGGAGGGCTTCAGAGTGCAGGGTAGCCTATGAGCTGGCACTTAACAGTGTCAGGGGCGGAGGTGGCTGCTCTCCAGAGAGGAAGAAATATGTGTGCAGAGATGGTGAAGAAGGAAGAACAGGGCAGCAGAGGGTTGTGAGAAGTACAGAGTGGCAAGGTGGACCACAGATACTGAGGAAGGTGGCTCTCCATGTAGTTGCTGCTGGATTATGGAGGACCTTGTGTCACATGAAGGGTTCAGTTGAAAAGTTCTAGGTAGGAACTTAAACTCTTTCCATTACTGGTTTTGCAAATGTAAGGATTTGGGAGGTTGGTTCTGGGGATCTTTGTTAACTGTCTTACCTCCCTTTTGTGAAGCATTCTCAACACAGAGAAAAACTAGTACAGACGAAAATAAATCTTTTTATTTAAAAGAGCACAGTCATGGTTGACAGAGTCCTAGATGTAATCTCCATCCCTAAAAATTAATCTTTAGTTCTAAATGTCACACTGATATCAATCTTTGAAATGAAGACTGGCGGTAATGCTGTTAAAATTGCAGCTCTTTAGCTTGCCAGTCCAACATCAATAAAATCCAGGTCATGGGGTTAGCTGGAGATGTATATGGTGTGTCTCCCATTCACTTTCACCGTCTTCCTTTTCTGAGAAGTCTGGAAGGGACTGAAAGAGACACACTGTTCTCGGGGAGCATCTTGAACAGTAATTTTCCATTTCTGAATTAGCCATTCTTGTTGCCAGGCCCTGAGCCCTGGTTGGCATAGCCAGCAGCCCTGTAGAGAGGGTGCACTGTGGAGTGACCACGTTCTTACAGGTTGTTTTTAACTGTTGGGGCAGTGAGTTGCCACGTTTCTTCCTTGTTGAAGTATTTGAGGCATGCAATTTTTACCTCAATCTCAGATATTTCATTTCTGTAAGTTTTTTTTTTTTTTAATAGCAAGGACAAGGATTTCCACAAGAGCCTAATATCTGCAAGTCATAGTCACTAATCCCATACAAGGAATAAACAAAATAGTAAGTATCAGTAGCTTCCGTACCACCCTCTAACACCCATAAAGAAGCTGTGGCTGTGCACTGTAGGGCCAAAGTCAATGCAGTAAAGGGATGAAATACATGACCTCTTCACTTTCTGAGAGGTTTACATGTTTTAAAATTGAAGATCACTGAAAGGAAATAAATTAAAGTAGGATTGTGAAATTAAGTATTTTTAAGATCAGATGGCTTGATTTTTCTCTTCAGGGGTTTTTGCCTTCCCTTTTGCTTGGAGAGAAAGGCTCCAGGCCTGTTTCCTACTCTCTCTCCTCTTTATCTTTATTCACCAATTGTATTCCGCCCCCATCGCTGCTCTCTTCAACCTCTGCAGGATGTTCAGTCTTAGCAGCATCTCCAAATGAGTCATCCATGCATTAATTCAACAGTCAATTCCTAACTGTGCAAAGAGCACAGTCAGCATAAACAATGACCGGGCACTCTTAAATCATTCTTCATAACGATCTTGCTTTGGTCAAGAATTTAATGCCTGAACTTGTCAATATTCATGGTACAAGATGTCCATCGTACTGGGGAAGAAAATAAGCATCACCAGTCCTTCTTTTACTTAGAAGGTCATTTTATGGTGTCTTGTTTCTGTAGCATTGAAGCAGGTTTATCCAGATGACCTGGTGGCAGCTTCCAGATTTTGGGTCTGTACTTTTCACGTGTCAGGTACAGGACCCATAACACATCTAGTCAGTATGTCTGTGCAGTGAGACCAAGTGGAGGAAACTGTTTGGTGGTAGAATTTCATGTACTTATGTTGGAAATAGGCTGTTTTCATTTGTTCACAATGAACACAGGATCATTTGCGCTATTTGTTTTGCTAATGGAAACACAATTTTTGAGAAGGGAAACATTACTTTCTATTTCGTTTTTCTCTAGGGTTTTGCTCAAAGTCTCCTAAAAAAGATGTCTCATCGAAGCTCTATTCCTGGCTGTGGAGTGACCTTTGAAATCGTCTCCAATATTCCAGAGGTGAAAGATAAAATATGATTTGCATTTACTAAAAATAAACACTTAGAAAGAGCTAAGTCTCTAAGAAGTCACCTACCCACGAAATTTATATTAAATGAAAATGTTTATTTAGGGAAATAGTGTTGATTTTTATTTTTTTTTTCTTTTTTCTTTTTCTTTTTTATTCATATGTGCATACAGTGTTTGGGTCATTAGTGTTGATTTTAAAAGGAATTCCCTAATCTTATAATACAATGTGCCTGTGGCCTTAAAAATTCTGGTTTTAGTATTCTGTTAAAGAACTGTTTTTTTTGAAAAGCAGCTTAACGCCTTTTTACTTGTAGAAGAAGGCAAATGATAACAATACAGTGTTACCCACAGAGGGAAGTAACGGAGCCTAGTGTAGAGATGCATTTGATTTTGGAATCAAACAGAAATCTTGTTTCTGTCACTTTTTAACAAAGTAAACTTGCATAAATTACTCTGAGCCTAATTTTTTTCATTTGTTAGGGGTTAGTAATACCTTCTCCACAGAATTGTTTTTATTTTTATTTATTTTTTTTTAAAACCAATATTTTATTGCTCACTTAGTTCACTGAATCTATGTAATTGTTGGTGAAAAGTCCAATGGGAAGGTTCAGTGATTAGATGCTCTCCCTGCCTCAGCCCATCCTCTCAACATAGGATTAGATAGAAAACTATGGCTTTTGCTGGAAGGACCCCCAGTAACTCAGAGCAGTTGAACCTTTGGTCTGTGAATGTTCAGGTGATAGATTTTGGACTACAGCTAGTATCACCCATGGGTGAAAAAAGAATGTGAAGTCTAGTCTACACATGTAGAATTTGGGGATGACAGTCTGGGTTAGAGAACAGACAAAGAATCAACGAATGGAAGTAACTGGCAAAACTAAGAGCACCAACTTTGTAAGAAAAGATATATCATTTTGGATTGTGTTTTACTGGGCACAGAGTTGTTTTTAAGATTAAATGAGACAATGTGTACAAAATGTTCATATACTAAGCATTAAATCATAGTTACTGTTATTGTTACAATGACTATTGATATCACTACTTTCTCTTTTGAATGAATTGAGATATTCCAAGGATTCAGACAGTGTACCTTAAAACATCCCCAATAGGATGGAGGCTGTCACTTGTAGACAATTCCTGATATTTAACCTGAGTTAGCTTTGTTCGCTCAGCTGGGTTTGGAGCTGTTCCTTGTAGGGCAGGAGAAGCGAGGTCCACAGAGGAGGACTATTCTGAGGAGGATTCTGCAGGAAAGAGAAAGAGGAGTGGTTTCATTGTCCCACACTCACTGTCCAAACAGGGGGAAGTGAGAGGAGGTGGAGACTGAAGTTTCTTGGGGAGCGGAGACCACAGCCCTCTTCACACTGTCAGCACCATGCCCTGATCTTCCTTCCAGGCCCTGGGGTTTGTGGATTGATTCTTTGGGTATTTATCACACAGGCCATTTTTTGGAAAGAAGCAGGTAGATTATATAGTGTTTAGATTTTGTTCTGGATCTCTTGTATTGCAAAATACCTTATTTCCAATAGCATCAAATAGTAACTAGTTCTTTCCTAGATTTTCTAAGTTAGATTTAGAAAATACACATTATCTAATTTTTTAATTTAAAGCCTCCTAAACATTTAAAAGTTGTGTGCAGAGTTGAACTAACTGTGAACTCTTATGTCTAAAATCCATTACTCTGCTTCATTCACTGTTCTTTATAAGATTGAAACCAGGTGTATATATATGTTTAGTTAGAGACTTACTATTTATTCTCTGGGTTTAAACATTTTCTTTTTTTTCCAGTTGTTTTGGTTCTTAATGCTATAAATGGCTTGACAGCAGTTGCAAAAGCAATGACAGTTGAAATAGACTGTCTCCCTTCCCTCTCCTTTGTCCCCCTTGTAGTTTTCTTACCCTCTGAGAAAGTGCTTTTACTTTTCAGGTGATACAGTTGCTAGAAGGGAAGAAATGGGGGAAATCAGCTTAAAGATAAATATGCCCTCACAGGATTGGGCTGTTGATAATTAGCTAAGCAGTTGGGTTGGCAAGCATTGTTTTCAGATTATCAGATTCTGATGATAATGAAAGAGAAAAAGTTTATTGTGTACACAATGAAAATATTCCAAACCTCCCTTTTACAGTTTTTTTTTTTAAAATAGGTTTTGTAATATGTGTTCCACATTACAGAAGCCACCAGAAAGAAGTGGTCCCAGGCCCAAGAGCAACAGTACATAGTTTCTGTCTCTCTCCTTACAAAACCAGGATCAACTCTGTTCCCTTTAGACACTGGACATATTCTTTGTTGGGTGTGAGGAGAATACTCCTCAGGAGCTAAGACCTGAGTTCCCCTCTCCCCTCCTTTGGTAACTATGGAATTTCTCTCGCCATCTTTGAAATGAGGGTGATACCTTCTGTTCACAGTTACATAAGGTTCAAAGGAAGGACTGTGGGGACAACGTAAGCCATTTTATAATCCTCCCACATTTTATCTAAGACTCATTTACATTAAAAATCTTTGAAGTTAGAAGGTCTTATAATTGATGTTATCTTAAAATTAATTGGCAGTTCCTCTCTCTTAGTTATATGTAGAATTATGTTTCTCTTCAGTTGATGACATGTATTTATTTATTTATTTTGGCAGTACTGGGGTTTGAACTCCATAAGTTGATGGCATTTAAGACGCAGTGGCAGGCTAATGTGCATATTTTGTTTTTTGCCATTATTATAAGAAACTCACAAGTAAAGAAACTATCCTTGAGAAGAGCGATTTGTTATAAAAACCATTTTAATATAGTAAACAGTTGCATTTATAATACATTAATAAAGTCCCTCCTGATTGGTGGGTTTCTTATTTATATGAATGTCCAGCTCACATCAGAGGAGTGGGAAGGGCTCTATAAGAGAGCACATGAGTGAGAATTTGCCTGACTTCTTCTTTCTTGGTGGGCTCTGAGCCTTTGGCACTGCCACGCCAGCATGAGTGAGGGTCTAGACTAGTATTAGCCACTCTGCATTCTCAGTGTGGGACCACAGTAGGGTGCTTAATAATGGCTCAACCCTCACCCTGCTTTCTACACCCTCCTCCATGCTGTATCTGTGTCCTACTAGAGTTGCTGGGTCCCCCTCTTGTCAAGCGGGTCAGCCCAGCTCCTCACTCTCTTGTCCCAGGGGTGATAGGGTCTTGTAGCATTGTTGTTATGGAACTTGCACCTGGATAGCCTACAGAATCATTTCGGATGCTAGTCAGCATCACTGACTAGTGATACTTTGTGGGTTTTTTGTAGTAAAAATGCATCAGGGAACAATTGTGTTAAGAACTGTCTTTTTCAGCTATGCTAGGTTTAATCAGCCTTTCGTGTTCACCTAGTCACTGTTTCATAATTTCTGTGGGAAAATGCATTCTGAGTTCCAAAAGCTGAATGGAATTTTGGACTCCATTCTGTTTGTCAATTCAGAATTTGTGTATGTTTTGGGTGTGCATACGTCTAGCAAGCTGCTATAACACTTTCTTCTGCAACATATATAGTTTTAACGCATCTTTCTGTTATCTAGGATGCCCAGGGAGTAGAGGAACGAGAAGCATTAGCCAGGATGGCAGCTAATGTTGAAAACCCAGCTTCTGCTGACTCAGAGGCATACATTGAAAAGTACCTCCGGAGTGTGCTGGCTGTGGAAAACCTCCTGACCTTAGATCGCCTTCGCCAGGTCAGCCAGTGGTCAGCACAGCTGCTGTGGGTGCTAACCCAGCCTGACTCTGTGCTTGACTTTGTGGACTTCCCCAGTGCTGTTTCTTTTGAACTTTGAAAAGTTTAATTAGCTTGAACAATCTAGAGCGATGGTAGTGAGCTTGTTTTGTCTTGTGAAGTCATAGCCTGTATTTATTTATTTATTTATTGGTGAGACTGGGGTTTAAACTCAGGGCTCATGCTTGCAAAGCAGATGCTCTACTGCTTAAAGCTACACTTCCAGTCCATTTTTCTCTGGTTATTTTGGAGATGAGGGTCTCATGAACTGTTTGCCTGGGCTGGCCTTAAACCATGATTCTTCTGATCTCAACCTGCCATGTAGCTGGGATTATAGGTGTGAGCCACAGGTGTCCAGATGTAGTCATTATTTAACAAATGAGGAAAGCCTACTTAGACACTGCTGCTTTGGGGACATGTCTCTCATGTTTTCCCTCCGTGTGTCTCAATCCCAGGAAGTGGCAGTGAAGGAGCAGCTGACGGGGAAGGGGAAGCTGAGCAGAAGGAGCATCAGCTCTCCGAGCGTGAACAGAGTGAGCACTTCCTGCTGCTGGCCCCTCTCTTTCTTCTTGCTGGGATAACACTCTGCACCCTTCAATCTCATCTCAACTGCTACCCACTTCCCTGCACTGATTCAAGTGCTGTCCCTGCCCCATCGCCCTTGTGCCCCCTCTGCCACTATGCCCACTGCTTTGGGAAGGGAATCACCCATCACCAGAGGTTGCCCATCCTGTGCGGGTCACATGTCCCTCATTTGTCCTCCATCATCCCGGCTTGCCACACACTGTGCGTGTCACGATTGCATGTTGAGCAAAACCCAGATAGCTGTGTGCCTCTGGCAAGGAACTCATCTTCTAGGCTTAAATTAATTATTTTTAAACTGAGAAGTCTGGAGTAGCTTACAACCCATCACTTAAAGTCCAGCTGGGAAAGTATGAATGAGTAAAACAAGTTAGATTTGTTTCATAATGGTGGCTTAAATTTGTTGATTTTTTAAAAAAAAATAGCTGCAATTGATGTTGCATGTTAAAGAGAATAATTTTCTTTAAGAAATATGTTTGCAACTCCTAGATTTGTCTCTCTTCCTCATTTTTGCTAAAGATGTGGATATGAAAAATATCACACTTTTTTCATAAGTGCTCACCAGGATAAGTCACAGGACAAGTGCACAGGAAATAGCAGCTGCCCCATAATCGCAGTGTTCGAGAGGAGAGCGAGTGCCAGGGAGTGTTTCCTGCTGGGGAGCCCATGGGCTGCAACAACTGCTGGAAGACATCACTGATGATCTCAGACCAGAATGCAGGACTACTTTCAGACATGTAGAACTGCCACTTGAATTCAGGGTCAATTTCTTCTCATTCCTTTAGAAAATGATATATTAAAATATACTGATTTGGTATTTGGGATCCTGTGGCTTAACAGGAATTGTTTGTGAGTTTACATTTACTATCAATCCTCAGAAAAGGGGCTCAGGCCATGACAGGATTCCAGTGGCCCAGCCTCCTTTAAGTAGAAAGGGGAGGAGGGTCATCCGAGGAAATGGCTCCTGCTCAGGTCAGCGAGGGCTTGTCTCAGTGTAAACCTGACATCCAGTCTGACACCAGCCTCTCATTATAAGTCATTGGTGGCCAGCTCAACGTTTTTTCAAGTCCCAAGTCCATGTTTGAAGCCTTGGACTTGAGAGCCTCACTTTTGCCATACTGCTTGACTTGGTTTTCAGAGACCTTCCTTCCTAGACTGTCGCTCATGCTTCTAGCATGGAGGACTCACCCCTCTTTATTTCTGCACAGTTGTCTGGAAGCCGACAAGATCTCATCCCATCGTACAGTCTAGGCAGCAACAAGGTAAGTGTTTATAACTATTTCTTTCAGTTTTAGGCCGATTTCTCTTTCAACTTTATCTTCTCAAATCTCTCATGTTACTTTTTATTTATTTTTGCAGTACTGGAGATTGAACTCAGGACCTTGTGGCTACTAGGCAGGTGCTTTACCACTTGGGCCACACTCCAAGCCTTTTTGACTTTAGTTTGTTTTTCAGATAGGGTCTCACACATTTGCCCAGCTCAGCCTTGATTTGTGGTCCTCCTACTTTTGCCTCTTGCTTAGGTGCAATTACAGGCATGTACCAGCATCCCTGTAAACTTAGTTTTCTTTGAGATAGGGTTTTGCTAACTTTTTGCCTATGCTGTCCTTGAACCACAATCTTCCTCCCACCTACCTGGGATTTCAGGTGTGAACCTCTGTGCCTAGCTTCCCGTGTTACTTTCTCATGCCAGATTCTTCCTGAGAATCTGAACTGTATCAGATTTATTGGAAAGCATCAGAGTTCATTTCTTTTAATCTGCCACTTAAAATAAGGTCAACTATATCCTTTTATTACTAGAATTAAAATGTCTTTTGCTATAGGTCATATTTGTCTACAATATTCCCATTTTTATAAAATAAAAGATTTTATTTTATGATTTAAAAAAAGCTTTTTAAATAGTGAAGTAGTGATGTAATGATTGAAAGAGTTTATGAGTAATAAGAAAATTGTACCTAAAAATTAATACTGCTTGTTAGAAGAAAGAAAAATAAGGGAACAGAAATTTTGCTAGTGGAATTTATTTATTTCATTGTTTATATAGCTTTCTTTGTGTGAGAGGTTTTTTTTTTTCATTTTTTTATTCATTTATTCATATGTGTATATATTGTTTGTGCCATTTCTCCCCCTGTGCCCCGCCCCTCCCCCACCCGTGACAGAGTTTTAATCAAACAGAAAACTCATTATTATTGACTTTGAAAAGGTTATTAGCACTCCTTGCAACTGTCTTATGTGGATGTCACACATCACAGTTTGTGGCTGTCACTTTCTCAGGGACCTGGTTAGATGTCGGTGCTGCTCTGTGTGCAGCATGCTCTGCATTGGCAGTGTGATCTTGAGGAAACCAGGCATGGACATTGTCCTGGCTGGTGCGATGGGTAGGAAGACAAAAGAAGACTGGTAGTTGTGAAGGCTGGCTGGGGTTTGTGTCACTATTCCTGTTCTTGTGTATTGTTCTGCATTCCATTTGTGTTTGTATTTGACATTTTCCTTATAAAAACTTAAAGGACAATGAAGCTAATGAATCAGTTACTCATTTTTAAAGATCTAGATCATTATTAGTTTGTCTGAAATGATAACACACACACACACACAAAATAGTACTGAGCTGTTCAGTACTAGACCAAGGATAGGTTTAATTAGCTCAGCTTCCCATTGGTTGAGGTTACCTAAAAAAAGCAGAGTTTTAGGAACTTGATTGTGTATTGAGTTTTAAATGTGAATAAAGAGACTAACTTGAAGCATAGTTAGAAGAAAAAAATATGACTTTCTGTGTTTTTTGGGAAATGTATATAACCCAAATCTTAAATTCTAAGGTTCTTGAAAAAGTGAACAAAATTGCTGGTTTTTTTTTTTTTTTTTTTTTTTTTATCTTTCTTACTAGTTTCTTCCTTTCTTTTTTAGTTTTCTAACTTTCTTTATCTTGAAATGGAGACAGTAAGAGGCAACAACAGTGTCTGCTTCAGAGGCACTGTTTATTGGTGCTTCATCTGCTCCACAGAGGGAGCTGAGTGCCCACTTTCCCAATATCCTGCAGGGGTCAGGAGGGGCTATGGAGAGGTAGTGACACTGCCAAGGTGCACACAGTCAGGCAAGGAGTGGGAACCCCACATTCTGGGCAGAAGCACCAGCATTAATGGAGGCATGGGGTGAGCAGCCTGCCCGCTTCAGGACAGCATTTGCAGTGAGACTCAGGTGGAAGAGCATATGTCCGAGGGACAAAAGGGACAAATTTGTCCCAGGGACAAATGGGGCTTGGGTGGTCACTGAGGACAAGAAGAAAGGGGTGTGACTTGTTTACATTTGAACTGGACGGTTTGCTTGGGTGGTCTGAGTCCTGCCCTTGTTTCTGACAGCAGTACATAAGATTGCTCTAAGATACTGTATACAGCATACATGCACACACATTTATATAGTTATCAATGCACAAGTGTGAAAAACTTGTTTGAGTTGGGAAATGGAGAGACCAGGTAGGGAAGAAGAGTCATCGATGGCGATGGCGAGAGAGAGGAAAGAAAGACATGAGGCATACTGAACGAATGGACTCCTATGTCCTGTGGACATAAAGAAGGAGATTGGGGGAGGGAGAAGACTAGGTTGTGGTGACAGAGTTGATGTCTGAGACAAACTGGGAGAGGAGCAGGTTTGGGGAGTTCGATTTCAGTGTTGAAGCCAGCACTGAAGTCAGGTTCGGGAGCCAGGGAAACAGTTGAGGTCATGGAGGGAAAGATGAGAAGCAGCAGTCAGAGAGAAAGATGCCCTGGAGGCTGTGGTGTTTTACCTAAGGGTCCTTCCAGACTCTTAGATAATGGCCAGTGGGGCTGCTTGGACTGTGACGTCAACATCAGGCTACTTCTGCCTGGGGTTGGAGAGGTCAGATTGAGGCAGGGGTAGGATGTGTCATGTTAATGACTAAAAGGAAGATTGCATGTCTCTGTTACTGTTCTGGGGCCTTTCCAGTTTCAGTTCTTGACTTCTCTGGGTTCCTGAATAACTTAGTGAAGATGAGGAAAGTCTAGTTTCCACTGGCTCGGGTTCGTGGTTCAGTTGCAGGAGTGAGGGTTCAGTTCTCACCACTCGGTTTCTGTGACTCCCGAGCTGTAGTGATGGACCTCAGAAAGGCTAGCCTCTGCCTGGGATTCATAGCAGTTTGCAGACCTCAGACGCTGGCCTTTAACACCTTTCCCAACCATAGCAGTCTCCTGAGCCACAGAGAAGCATGGTCAGGAGGACTAGCCCGTCCCACTAGCTGCTCTCCTCTCTGCTCCCAGTTCTGCTGCAGAACCAGCTCTTTCTCCTCTTTGAACCTGAAGGGTGATACTGGACTTTAGTCAGCATCTGGTCACTGTGGTACCACCTAGTGTCCAGATGGGTGGATGAGAGGAGTGTCCACATGTTAATGTAAGACTTGTTGCTTTTGCACGAAGGTACAGGTAAGGGTGGGTGGATGGACTGTGTAATGAAAAAGGACATGCAGGTCGTAGAGGTATGAATGATCACTGAAGGGTTGATTGCAATTCGCTTGGGTGGGAACAACAGTAGTCCCACAATGTAAAGGACAGCATCTAAAGAGATTATTAGGGAATGTAAGTATTTTTAAGTTGCATCTTCTTACTAGTGAGAAAAGAACCATCTTTTTTCCTAATAGCAACAAGGAATGCAGGCTTGCTCTGTGGCCCTTTAAAGGACATGTGTTATGCACACACCTGTGAGAGTGTTCCTTAGGATTGAGCAGTGTTTAAACTAATTAACATACACAATCTCAGTCTTATTAAACCCCTAAACACAGGAGTGCTTAGTATACTCACTGCATCATTGTACAATAGCAGAAGATTGAAAACGAGCTAAATACCTGTCAGTGTGGTCTGTATAAATACATCTTACATACACACACACACACACACACACACACACACACACACACAGCCTCCCCCACACCCCCACTCACTCTCATGTACACACTCACACACAGACCCTCCCCACACTCACCCCCACACAAATACTTACACTCACACACATAGACCACCCCGCACTCATGTACACAGCCGCCCCACGCTCACACACTCACTCTCCTGCATACACACTCACACACACAAACTGAACACTGTGCAGCTCTGAGCTCTCCATGACATTTATGGTGATTAGAAGGTAGTGCAGACCAGTATGTTGCTGTGAGTATTTATGAAGGAAACAGATGGGAAGTATGTGTGGCTGTGTACATATACAGGAGCATGTACAAGGAACAAATGCCACTCTGCCAGGCCAACTTACCTCTTTAAAATTTAAGAATTGGTTTATTGTGAAGGGTGATGCATGTAATCCCAGTTACAGGGAGGCAGAGAGCAGGAGGATTATGGTTCAAGGCCAGCCCAGAAAGTTAGCAAGACCTCCATCTCAACCAACAAGCCAGGTATGGTGGTGTACATTCATAATCCCAGCTATGTGAGAGGCTTTAGGTAGAAGGATCATAGTCTGAGGCTGGCCCTGAGCAAAAAATGAGACCCTACCTGAAATATAACTAAAGCGAAAAAGAGCTGGGGGTGTGGCTCAAGTGGTAGAGAACTTGCCTAGCAAGTTGAGGCCCTGCGTTCAAACCCCAGTACCACAAAAAATAAAATAAAAATTTTATTCTCTAATATTTTAAATTGCTAGAAGTTCCTAGCACTCGGGAGACCCTGTATCAAAAAGGAAAAAAAAATTTCTTGAAGTTTGTTTTCTTTTATCTTTAGTTGTTTTGAGGAGCTATCCTTAAATTGTGGTTCCTGAAGGGGTGTTTGCTAAAGAAATTGTTGTTTTGGAAAACAAAAAGACTCATGTTTGTCTGTTTTTCCTTTTCATTTGGAGACCTCCTGCATTCCTCAGTTTTCAGAGATCCAGGGAGAGGTAATGAATTCATTAGGTTTTCCTAATGAGTGGGATAAGTACTAGCCTGCTGTTTAACCCTTACCACACTTGCTCTTCCCTTCAGAATCTGAAAAGTAGTTTTCTAAATTCAACACTGTACTACTTCCTTATCCTTTTGTAAGAAGAACTCTGAGAGTGTCTGCAAGTCCTGGCAAATGTTCCTTGTTACCTGGGTCCAACATTGTAAGAGTACTTATCTATCAAAAATATCAGGAATTAAGGCAGCCTAGGGAATTTAGGAGACTCCAGAATTGGAGAAGTTAGTTTATTTAACATGAATTAAATAAACAGTACAAATAAATATTTGGGGACCTGTGAGTGGAGCAGAAAATGGGCAGAAGTGCTCCAAGCATTTTTTTAACCCCAAAATTTTGTGCAGAAGGACCATCATGTTTTTTCTTATGAAAGTATTTAACGTTGAGGAAAGTTGAGCCAGAAATAGAATTTTGAGCTGGACTTGGTGATCTTAAAATGCTGGAACATGCACTTTGAAGTCATTACACTGACATTAGTTACAGCTACCTTGCAGGCACGTATGGGGCTACTTCTGGATTCTCTGTTCATTTCCATTAATCCCTGTGTCCGAAGGAGCTCTGATGAGGGTTAAAATCAGGACATAGCTAGAGCCTGAAGGGCTGAGTGTCACCCATCACAGCCCCTCACATGGAAGCATTCAGGTTAGCCAAAGTGATGTGAGAAGCCACCACGGATAGCTTCTCTTCTCCGTTCCCCTCTTAAGGGTTTGTTAATAAAACACAGATTCATCTGTTGAGAGCAAGAGAGATATGAGAGGATGGCAGGGAAGCAGAGTGGAAGTCACAGGATTTGGCAGTTGGGGTAGGGAGGAGTGGAAAGGTTCTAAAAGTACTCCACTTTGGCCCAATCACACTTTGAATCAGGCCAGCCTGTTTTGCATTTCTGTGTGTGTTGATGTTCCTTACATATTAAAATTGTAATTGCTTTACTCAGCTCCACCAAGATTGAATTGATGAACTAATTAATCTTTTAAAAAATAGAATTTGGAAAAAAATTTAAAATAGAATTTGATTATTACACATTTTAAATTCACCTTAGGGTCTGAAAGAAATCACTCTTGGTATAAGTGTTTTGATTAGAAAAATAAAATATCCCTAATTGAAGTGCTGTTGCTGTTTATTGTTACTGGGTGTTCCATCATTATTGTAAGATTTTTAATAGGTCTGATGAAAACGTAGGCTTTTAAAGACCATCTACCAATGGATATTTAAGTATAAAATTAATTTTAGCCTCTTGCTAAAATTAAAAGTTGGCTGTACATTGAGGTCTTCTGCAGTGGAAAGATAGCTGTCAACAAACATACTGTTACTTCTAAAGCCATCTGAGAGGAAGTTATGTCTTCAATAAGCTTGTTTTCTTTTTTTTTTATTGTTTTATTATTCATATGTGCATACAAGGCTTGGGTCATTTCTCCCCCCTGCCCCCACCCCCTCCCTTACCACCCACTCCGCCCCCTCCCTCTCCCCCCACCCCCTCGAAACCCGGCAGAAACTATTTTGCCCTTATTTCTACTTTTGTTGAAGAGAGAGTATAAGCAATAATAGGAAGGAACAAGGGTTTTTGCTGGTTGAGATAAGGATAGCTATACAGGGAGTTGACTCACATTAATTTCCTGTGTGTGTGTGTGTGTGTGTGTTGCATTCTAGGTTAATTCTTTTTGATCTAACCTTTTCTCTAGATCCTGGTCTCCTTTTCCTATTGGCCTCAGTTGCTTTTAAGGTATCTGCTTTAGTTTCTCTGTGTTGAGGGCAACAAATGCTATCTAGTTTTTTAGGTGTCTTACCTATCCTCATACCTCCCTTGTGTGCTCTCGCTTTTATCATGTGAATAAGCTTGTTTTCTGATTGGAGTTTTTGATGAAGTTACAATTCGTCCATAGTGTAAGTGATGTTAACAAAACTGAGCAGTATTTGGTCTGTGTCACCTTCCTGACACTCATCATTCACTGGAGCCCTAGTTCAGACCAATGGATGTGAAACATGAGTCACTTCTTTAGTTGCATTAGAAGCAGCTTTGGACCTGAAACGTTACTGGCACTTCTCTTTATTTACCTCTTTGTAACTTTCCTTATTAAAACCAGGCCTTTTTTATGGAAAAGTGAGAGAATTTGTATCTGGACAGGAATAGGGACAGGAAACCTGCAGGTGCACTTGGGGACCAAGTGCCACCCTCAAGTTGGCTGAGGGCTTCCTGGGGTCTTGCCTTGTTGACTGTGCCTCTGAACTTGGGCCAGTCCAAATAATTGCAGTCTCAGAGCTGATTTAATTTCTTTGAGTTCCACCCTTGAGAACAAATAATCCTCAGTAGTTAATGGAGCTCATGTGGGGATCAAGTCAGGATCTGCTCCCTTGTGTGTCTATCATGGGCAATTCTGAAGTTCCACAGACATGCAGAATGTTAGAAACAGACCACAGATTGATCTTTTGAGATTCTGGGAGGTTAGGGTGCACATTACTGGGGTAGAAGTAAAAAAAACCCAGAACAAAACAAAACACTGTACTCTTTCACCATTAGATCTGACATATTTAAGAGACCAGAATGTTCTTGGGCCTTTGAAGTCCTTCTTTACTCATAGTTCTAAGTTCATCTCCCTTTGAAGTACATTTAACTAGATTGTGTCTTTTCCTTTTTGCATTTCCCAGCATTTCCGTAAAGGGAGGAAAACTCCAGATCAGGCAAACATATCAGATTTGCAGATTTACTGGAAGACAGTTCTTGTCCTGATCCTGGGGGAAGTGTAGCTAGCCTCGCCCTGAACACAGGTTTCATCTCTGGCAAGAGAATGATGTAATGCAGCGAAAAAGTAGAACTGAAGAGTGAAAGATTTCTGAGAGTGTCTTCCAGAGCTCTGGGTGCCACCTCGGGCAGGAAGGGTGTTGAGGCCTTCCTATTAGCAGATCTGCTGTTCCCTAGGAAGCAGAGGCTAGTCCACTCCAGAGCACTTTGAGACTTATCGCTGGGAATTTTTGGAGACCAGTAACAGGTGGCCTGTGGTCCCTCGGGCTGCAATGACTATGAAGGTGGCTGGGTGGAGTGAGGTGGGTCTCCTTCTTTCATTATCTCACAGGTCCACAGTGTGGCTGAGGTAGTGGCTTAAGTGTTGTCTGACCACTGTCAAGTGTTCTCACTGGGAACAGGAAGGGTTTGGGTGGGAGGCAGGAAGAGTTATTGTTGCTATTCTGCCTCGGGGGTGACATTATGTGGAGGAGGTGCAGCTGGGAAGCATTCCTGGAATCTAGAGGACCCCAAGTGTGCCTTAGAGAAGAGGCGAAGCCTAATCTTTGTTATTGGTCACTGGGCCACTCTGTCAAACAACCCAGGTGCTGACTGCAAATCACCTGTTTAGTTTCCTAAGGGACAGAATGCAGCTGCCAGACAAGGAAGAGAACCTAAAATATGAGAATAAATTTGTTCTCAAATAAAGTATGTTGTCTTTAGAACAACCTTGTGTGAACTTGACGCTGTGAACAGAGCATCGGCCTTGTCTTCCTCTGAGAGTCTCTGAAGCTTATTGACCTTACTGTTTGCACCTGATTGTGCTATCCCAAGGCTCGCCCAGGCGGGGCTTCCCAGACCAATACTTAAATTTGAATGGAAAAGGCATTGACAGAACACTAAAGTATGTGAAATAGCATATGCTCCATAGTGACTCAGTGCTCCTACCGTGTAGTGGTCCTACTGTGCAGTGCTCCAGAGTGCATATTTCCCTGACTGTGTGCCCATGTGTGTTTTGTTTTCTCTGTTTCCTAATGAGTGCTGAACATCAGACCATTTTCAAAAATGCTATCAAGTGCTGAGTGAGTTCTTTGGGAACAGTGGTGTTCTCAGAGGTAAACATGATCCAGATCAATTAGGGCTTATTGATTTTATGATCAGTACTTAGGTTGCCACTAAAAGCAGATAGGTTCCTAATATATATTAGAACCCTAGGAGAGGCACCCCCTTGGTCTGGCTTACAGAGCAGTTGGAGGATTTGCTGTTTCCATCTTGCTTTTCAGACATTTCATCAGGACAACTGGAGTTAATCGTTAGGGCCATAGGTCTGGAATGCCAGCTTAAGCTAATATTAAGTACTGTTATTAAACTCTAGTGAAAAAGAAGTCAGAGTGATTATCAGAGGATCAAAGGAAGTTTAAGGTCTAAATGTGAAGCTGAACCTTGTACTGTCTGAGAATTTGTGCTTCCAGGAACTACTCCTGGAGGAAGAGGAGGCCTCTTCCATAGTAGCACATTCCTGGGTTTCATCAAGAAACACTGAAAATGATATTTACAGACAGAAGAGCAGAAATGGTCTTAGGAGAGAATTTAAGGGAGAATTTATTTCAAAAGGAAAATCCTAATCTATCTAATTTGAGGAGGCAAGAGGATGTAGTAGAAAGAATGCTAGCATGGGCCCTGGGAGACAGGAGTATAAAGTGGAAGAGCATTCACAGTGAGACAATACTGTTCTCATTAGGGAAGTGACCACTGTAAGCAAGGTGACAAGCATGAAGAAGGACTTACGTAATCAAACTTTTATCCTAGAAGGAGAGTAATAGCACTTGAGTAATATAGAACAGTTTTTTCTTGAGCACCTCAAAGTTTTTGTTGTTATTAATTAATTTGAAACAAAGTGACTGATTTTGTTTTTAAAAGGGCCGGTGGGAAAGTCAACAGGATGTATCCCAAACAACAGTTTCCAGAGGACTAGCTCCAGCACCCCCAGCTCTCTCAGATTCACCCCAAAATAATCATTCTCCAGATCCAGGTATGTTGTCTTTTCATCTGTCAATCACTACCATGAAATCTGAGCATCTTTCAGAAAGAATTTAAGTTAGGATTTCTTGCTAGATAACGGCCATTCTACTTATGTCATCCAGATTTTCCCCTTGTTGTCTTGTTGTGTTGAGTTACACTGGTTTAAAAATGTTGAATTCATCCTGCATTCCTCTGATAAATAACCTTTGAACCTGCTGTATTATTCTTTATATGGTTTGACTCCATTCGCTATTTGTTGAAGATTGTGTGTATTTTGTGACGAATATACATCTACAACTTTTTATTTACCTCTGTTAAATTTGGTATCATGATCGCATTGACCTCATAAAATGACTTGGGAGATGTTTCTTATCCTTTTCTGGAAGGGTTTGTGTATGATTGGTGTTACTTCTTCCTTAAATATTTAATAGAACTGCCCAGTGACACTATCTGGGCCTGGACTTTTCTTTATGGGAAGATGTTACATTATGACTTGAATTTTTTTAATACAGGTTTATTTAGATTTTTGTATTTTTTAATGAGCCAACTTACATAAGTTTTTCAAAGAATTGTCTATTTTGTCTACATTATTATTTTCAAAAATGTCACAGTGTTGTTTGTACTGTTCTTTTAAGATCTGTAAGATTTCTTTTATAATTTTCTATTTCACTGATTTTAAGAATTTCTTTCTTCATTTTACATATTCTGTCATGTGCTTTCATTATCTTTTGACTCAGAATACTTTATAATTTCCTTCTGATTTCTTTGACCCATGGGTTATTGAGTAGCATGCTAATTCTTTTTGTGTATTTGGGGGTGTTTTATTTCTCATTTAATTGCATTATGATCAGGAAACAGCCTCTTTAATTTTTCAATCTCCAGGTGTTATAAAATACACTTAACAATATTCTTTTTGCTTTTAAAAAAGTCACTTATCTATTAAGGAAATTAAGAGAATACAGAGCAAGTGGATAATCTGTTGTAGCTTTTCTCATATTTGTTGTTTCTGGCACAGTCCAGTCCTTCCTGAGACTCTTACTTTCATATGATTTCATTTCTTTCAACCAAAGACGAGAGGACTAAGGAAATGGTTCTTACACATGTGTGGCTATCTGGCATTAAAGCCTTTCCAGACACAAACTCCTATTTTTTAGACAGGGTCTTCTACTTAAATAGAGACGATAGAGTCTGAGTGACTCCTGTTGAACTTTGACGGTATTCCCCACTTGTCTCCAAACTGCTTGTCTCTGAGCAATCTCTTCTGAAGATCTGTCTTCCATCCAAGTACTAACCAGTCCTGACCCGGCTTAGCTTCCGAGACCAGACGAGATGGGCGCGTTTAAGGTGGTATGGCTGCAGACTGAAGATCTTTTGTTATTGATCATTATTTTCCCTCATCATTAGGATTTGGTTTTTTCCTGGATTTTGTTTGTTTGGTTTTGGTCCTGTGGTGGGTGGTGGGGGTGGAGATGGAGTAACAATCAGATCAGGTGGGAATCAGTGCCAAGTAGGCCCTTTTGGTCAAATTTAAGCAGCAAAGAGGCTTATAAGAAGTGGCTCTTAGGCAGTGGGCTTGTAGATAAGGACAATACAAAACAAAATCCAACAAAAGCAGTCATCTAAAAAGCTAATCTGATTGACACATAAGTACATGTTAGAGTCATTTTTTGGACTTGATTGTAAATGCCCCAGAAGGATCAGAACTGTAATGACAAAAACTTAAAAGAGCCATGGTTAAAATTTTGATGGACAATTTAGCAACTAACAGAATAGTATACAAGTACCATTAACTTTTTGTTACCATGTTTATCTAAACTTTGTATTTTATTTATTTATTTATTTATTATTGTTTTATTATTCATATGTGCATACAAGGCTTGGGTCATTTCTCCCCCCTGCCCCCACCCCCTCCCTTACCATTGGCTATTGTGAATAGTGCCGCAATAAACATGGGTGTGCAGGTGCCTCTGGAGTAACCTGTGTCACAGTCTTTTGGGTATATCCCCAAGAATGGTATTGCTGGATCAAATGGTAGATCGATGTCTAGCTTTTTAAGTAGCCTCCAAATTTTTTTGCAGAGTGGTTGTACTAGTTTACATTCCCATCAGCAGTGTAAGAGGGTTCCTTTTTCCCTGCATTCTCGCCAACACCTGTTGTTGGTGGTGTTGCTAATGATGGCTGTTCTAACAGGGGTGAGGTGGAATCTTAGTTTGGTTTTAATTTGCATTTCCTTTATTGCTAGAGATGGTGAGCATTTTTTCATGTGCTTTTTGGCCATTTGAATTTCTTCTTTTGAGAAAGTTCTGTTTAGTTCACTTGCCCCTTTCTTTATTGGTTCATTAGTTTTGGGAGAATTTAATTTTTTAAGTTCCCTATATATTCTGGTTATCAGGCCTTTGTCTGATGTGTAGTTGGCAAATATTTTCTCCCACTCTGTGGGTGTTCTCTTCAGTTTGGAGACCATTTCTTTTGATGAGCAGAAGCTTTTTAGTTTTATGAGGTCCCATTTATCTATGCTATCTCTTAGTTGCTATGCTGTTGGGGTTTCGTTGAGAAAGTTCTTAGCTGTACCTACTAACTCCAGAGTATTTCCTACTCTTTCCTGTATCAACTTTAGAGTTTGGGGTCTGATATTAAGATCCTTGATCCATTTTGAGTTAATATTGGTATAGTGTGATATACATGGATCTAGTTTCATTTTTTTGCAGACTGCTAACCAGTTTTCCCAGCAGTTTTTGTTGAAGAGGCTGCTATTTCTCCATCGTATATTTTTAGCACCTTTGTCAAAGACAAGTTGGTTATAGTTGTGTGGCTTCATATCTGGGTCCTCTGTTCCACTGGTCTTCATGTTTGTTTTTGTGCCAGTACCATGCTGTTTTTATTGTTATTGCTTTGTAATATAGTTTGAAGTCAGGTATCGTGACACCTCCAGCATTGTTCTTTTGACTGAGTATTGCCGTGGCTATTCCTGGCCTCTTGTGTTTCCATATAAATTTAACAGTAGATTTTTCGATCTCTTTAATGAATGTCATTGGAATTTTGATGGGAATTGCATTAAACATGTAGATTACTTTTGGGAGTATAGACATTTTTACTGTGTTGATTCTACCAATCCATGAGCATGGGAGATCTCTCAACTTTCTGTAGTCTTCCTCAGTTTCTTTCTTCAGAAGTGTATAGTTTTCCTTGTAGAGGTCATTCACATCTTTTGTTAGGTTTACACCTAGGTATTTGATTTTTTTTTTTTGAGGCTATTGTAAATGAAATTGTTTTCATACATTCTTTTTCCATTTGCTCATTGTTAGTGTATAGAAATGCTAATGATTTTTCTATGTTGATTTTATATCCTGCTACCTTGCTGTAGCTATTGATGATGTCTAGAAGCTTCTGAGTAGAGTTTTTTGGGTCTTTAAGGTATAGGATCATGTTGTCTGCAAATAGGGATATTTTGACAGTTTCTTTACCTATTTGTATTCCTTTTATTCCTTCTTCTTGCCTAATTGCTCTGGCTAGGAATTCCAGTACTATGTTGAATAGGAGTGGAGATAGTGGGCATCCTTGTCTGGTTCCTGATTTTAGAGGGAATGGTTTCAGTTTTTCTCCGTTATAGACTTTGTATTTTAAAAGGCTTGATATACTTGAAAAACATAAGTATATTTAGTATACAGGAACCAGCAACAGCATCACCGCTCTATAGAAGTTATATATACATATTAGTTTGGTTGTTGCTCTTGAAGTAAAACCTTGGAGTTTCTCGTCAGTTATAGGTGGAGCAATGATCCCACATACCCCAGTCACAGACATGTATAGGGTACTGACTGCATTAGAATCACCCAAGACAGCAGTTGTTTAACCATGAGGTCATCTAGAAAATTTCACATAAGCCAACTTTCAAATGAACGTTTTTTTAGCTATAACTCAGTTACCTTTGTATTCAAAACCCTGATAAAAATCACCAGAGAACACAGGTAAATATTTATCGGGACTAAGTGTAGAGTTAGGAAACCTAATGGCCAAGAATCATGGGTCAGATGTTGATAAGGGATCACATCCCAGATTGTTGACATTAAGAGATGGCTCATGACATCCAGCAGGATCCCACCAACCTGTAGTCAGTGTAGTCCCCTAAAATAACAGGCCTGATCTGGCCAGCCCAGGCCAAAATTCCTTCTGTCTGACATGGAAGGAGTAGTACTAACACCTCCACTCTGTTGACTCCAATAAAAACTGGAGGTCTTAATCTCCCGTATAGTGCTCCTTTTTGAGGTTTTTTTTTTAATCCTGTCTGGAGGGTGCACTTTGGCTTTTTTTTTTAAATTTGCTTTGCATAAGTAAATCTGTCTCAACCCTCATAGAAGTACAGCAGCACTCCTTATGCTTAGCTGCCTCTTGCCTCTCTGTGCTTTAATAAATTCTTGTTATCTTGAGAAATTTGTAGATTAACCTGTAGCACCAAAAATTGCTAACAGTTACCTTGACAAAATAAAAACCGTTTTTAAGACAGTTTGTTTTTTGTAAATGTTATCAAGAACAATATAATTTTTAAGATAGCCTTGTTGTTATGAGCTTAGAGAATTAAGTTTTAGTTTAACAGTAGTACATTAAATTTTGACCTTACAAAACTTTTAAAGTAGTTGGATTTTAGTCAACTTAATCACTTATATAAGCATTTATAAGCTCCATTTTTTTTTTTATGGCAACCTCCTTTGTACCTTTATGACAACTTAATTTGTATCCTCTGGGGGAGTTTGTCTTTATCCTTTTTTTTTAAAGTATTTTTTAATCTTTTATTTTTTAAAAATCATATCCTTAATACCATATATATATATATATATATTTGTTACTTGTTGAAAATAACTCATAAGCCCTATTAACTTAGAGCCATATATTTTCATGGAAAAAAAATCCAAAGCAACCTTAAAATTGCTTTTATATAAAAACAATTTATAGAAAGCCCATTTGTTAATAGACCCATGAATTATAAGAGAGAATTAAGTCCCAAATTTTATTTACAACAGAATGAAACAGGCCAAGGTTATTTTTTAACTAACCAAATTTTAAGATTCCTGCTGCAAGCTGTGGCCCTCCCCCTTTTCTTTCTTTCTTTCTTTTACTCTCTCGCTCTCTCTTCCTCCCTCCCTCTCTCCTTCCCTCCCTCCCTCCTTCCTTCTTCCTTCCTTCCTTCTCTTTCTTTCTCTTCCTCTCTTCCCTCCTTTCCTTTCTTTTCCTTTTCCTTTTTCCTTTCCTTTTTCCTTTTTTCTTTTTCTCCTCTGGTCTGAGCCAGAGTGTAAACAAACACCCTGTTTTTTTGTTATCTTGAGTATCACGTTAACCTTAGAGAAGCAGTTTAACAACCATTTTGAAGATGCTTACACACACACACATACTCACACACACACACACACACACACACACACACACACACACACAAAGTTTGATAAATTAAGTATGCCAGAAAAAGATATCAACGTAAACATGCATAAGATGAGCTGTAATTCCAGGAGCAAATTAAATTTTGCCCAATGCTGTAAGCAAATTTATATACACACATATACACACACACATACACATACACACAGAATTAGAGTACACTCTCAGAAAAACATTTTTAAACCATAACTAGAGGGCTATCTGGTGGAATGTTGGATGATGCATGTGTTCTCTCTGTAATGCATTCAGTTCCCTCTCTGGCACTGAATTTTTGTTATTCATCCCTTAACCTCAGTTATGGTTATCTCCCAGGAAGAGGTCAACCCCCCACCCCCAATACCGGAGGTTTCTTGTATTTTACCCAAAGTGCTTTCTTTTTTTTACTTGTGTTGTTTCTCCTCCTGGTCTGTCTGGTGAAAAAGCCCAGTAGGTGTTTATCTCCCTAATTTCCAGAGGTGTCTCACACACTTTCACCCTGCTCCCTAAACCTGAGAGACCCGGTTTCACCCCAGACAGGGTTACTTGGGGGTCTCTGTTGGTGATCAGACTCCCCTTCTGCCTCCCAAAGGCAGGCCTATTATTCAAACCCAGGTTCTTACCAGTCTGACTGGCAAGATTCCCAATTGATTTCCAAGCTTTCTCTGGGTTCCTTTGTGCAACTGAGACTTGCTCTCAGGCGTGCTGGGAGAGGCAAGTCCTTTTGTCTGATCAGCAGGTCCACTGGTGCCTGTTGGGATGCTCTCCTTACGAGCCAGGGATGCTGAGTTCCCGTGATAAGGAGGTGAAAACACCCTCTCCTCCATATCCCAGATGAGCCCCCATAAATGTTACGGGAATCTTGAACAGAGACATGGGACACCAAGGCTTTTCAGGAAGCAATATTTATTAGCATGTCAGCAGTGGCTCAGTGGATTCACAGTCAAGGGCTGGATTCATACAGTATGTGTTATTTTTGTTTCTGAATTTTTTTGCTCAGACACGATTAGCCTACATATTATTGTTGGTATAAGTAAATTTGTGTGTGTGTGTGTGTGTGTTGCTGTGGCTTGAACTTCTACTGCTTGAGCCATGCCTCCAGCCCTGGTAATTTATTTATTTATATTTTGGTGGTACTGGGATTTTAACTCAGGCAGGGTGTGATGCTTGCTAGGCAGGTTCTCTACTGCTTGAGCCACTCTGCCATTCATATTTTTTTAATTGCCAAGAAATATTTCAGTATCACAATTGAAAATTTCTCAGTTTTTAATCAGTTCTTCTCTTTATGGACATTTGGGTTTTGCCAGCTTTTGGTTATTATGAATAAAGCTTATTCTTATATAATTTTTGTGGATATTTTTCTTGAATAAATATTTAGGAGTGAAGATTCTGGATTATAGGGTACCACCTAGTTTTAAATTCCCTAAATTTCTTGTCCTCTTTACAGTTATAATCAGTGCTTATTTGATTTACATCGTTGCTGTTTCGTCTTGCTTATCACTGGTTCTTGCATTCTACTCCATTCTTCTGGGTTTCCTTTTATTTGTAATGAAACATATCTGCAATTTGTGCTTTTAGCAATTGTCTCTTAGTGACAAACTATTTCTTTTAGCTGTTGAAGCTTTTATTTTTCTCTCACTTTAGAACCTCTCCTACTATGGGAAATGTCAAATGTACGAACATAGAGAAAATAACCTGATGTGCCCTCAAGTAACTAACTTTCCTTGATCTCAGGATCTCCAGCTCAGAATCAGACTGATGTCCCTGTGCTTCCAGCTCCCTCTCCCCTTGCTTGACTCTTGTTCTGTGCTATGTGCAGCCTTTGATGATTGGCTAGAATCTTATGAAGTTAGGGGTCATCCTTACACTGGAATGGTAGCTTAACTATTTACAGAGCTCTAGATTGTAATTTCTTTCTCAGCATTGAGGTGATTATATTCTTTTTGCTATTTATCATTGACTTTATTTTCTGCTTATCTCCCTTCTTTGTTTCTCTCTTCCCTGTTTTTGCCTTCTTGTAAATTGACTCTTCTGAACTCAACTGTGACTTATCTTTCGGTATTGGAGCAATCTTTTCGCTTTATCTTTTTAGTGGATATGCTCATGAATGTAATATATATCCTTTTCACAGTTAGTATTATATTTATGTAAAATGCAGAGACCTTACAATGCATCCATTTTTTCAACCAGTAAATCTAGAGTCCTCTTAGATTAGCGTGAAGCCGGGCCTGAGGTGACTGTGTGCCTCCTGTTTAGGGAGAGCACACATGTTCCTCACAGCGACTTGCTTATTCTTTTCCAGGTGTTACACACATATGCTGTTTCATCATTTGTTATTTGACTTAGATTTTACTCTAAATTTGTAGGGGGATAGAAATCTTATTACATCACAGGTCTTGTCTGCATCTCTGAACCCAGCCTTTGGTAATATAAGGATGATTAGTTTAGTTAACTGTCTCTCTTGTAAAAGCAACAGTACCCTTTTCCTGGAAGGTCGGGTCCATGATCTTCCTTTAGGAAGTAGTTATGAGAAATTAGAGTTCAGTTAAACATAGTCCCTGGTTTCAAGAACTTAAAAGTGCACATGAGAGCAAAGCTGATTATCACTGGTTGTGTGACTTAAAAATCCAGTCTTCTTTTATTCTAGAGCAGAAGTTCATGACAAGGACTGAGGGTGGATTACCCTTCCAATACTGATAAAGCATTGTCTGTTAGAACATTTTAGAAGTCCTAATTACTGCTAGTAACTGGTAGAAGAAAGACCATTAATGACATTTGATATTAATGGACTACTATGCTAATAGTATGTTTTTCTAATACTAATTTTTTAAAGATATCTTTAAAAAATTTATATTGTTAGATTTGTTTGCAAATGACAATTGGTAAATTTATAGAAAAGGAAATAACTGTCATTTTTTTCATGTTTTCTTTTTCCCTTTCAATTGTGTTGGCAGGACTTGGTGGCCTAGCAGCCTCCTATTTGAATCCAGTGAAGTCCCTGGTGCCACAGATGCCAAGGCTGCTAAAGTCTCTCTTTCCTGTCCGCGATGACAGAAGGGGCAAACTGCCCTCTCCACTAGCACCTCAGGTAAGATGCATCAAGAAAGCAGTAGTGAATGGTTTTCTGATAGACTGCTGGTGGAATGCTGCTGTGTGTTGCCCTGAAACTGGAGGTGGAGGGATAGCAACAAAGGAGGCATTAGGGCTGGGCTTTTAAACCTGGTAAAAGCTTAGGATAATTTCTTTTCCACTCTCTTCAGAGATAACAGAGCTGTTTAAACTTATTGACACACTCCATCCTTTCTGCTTTTAAAAACTGCCAAGTATGCTACTAATGTGATTTATGGTAATATCACTTAGAGCAACAATAGTAAAATTTATGAAGTACACTTAGTGTTGTTTGTGTATTGCCAAGTAGAAAATGTGGTTCTATTTTTAATTCTTGATTTCATTTCTCTTTTCAAACTATTTTGTATCATGACCGTCCTTCTCTCTCAACTTCTGTTTCCTTTACTGTGGGTAATCTGTTCTTTCACTTAAAAGTGATCACTTGCCTTATTTCCTTTTTAAAAAACTCTACCCAGCCCTAGGATAAGTGTTGGAGAAAATGTTCAAGGGTTTTCCAAACAATCAGGAAGCTGCTCTTTTGCAATGGTGACTGGGAACCCTGTTGGAAGTACAATCTCTAGCCTTATATATAGGTGTTAACTCAGCGGAAAATGATAAATGAGGGTTTATTTATAGTCGTTCAAAAACCATATGGTGCAAGTGCAGTTGATGAGGTAGGGCTTTTAACATCACCTTCTGCATATTCTTTTAAACATTCAAGTCACAGAAACGCAGGTCACTAGTCTAACATAACTGTAAGAGTTTTCTGAGTTTATGGTTCATATTCAAGGGAGATGGAAGTGATTGTGTAAAGTTTCTGTGCAGTTCTATAATATGTTTCAATCTAGCATTATATAAACATATACCTGCAGCGGATAAGAGAATGTAGCATGGAGGTTTGGGAATGTTTGAACTGCACTTAGCTAGGCACATAATGGGGTACTTGACAGTTATTGAAATGAGTCTCTGACTGCGGAGGGATTGGGGCAGGCAAAAATGATTTTTCCCAGTGGTTTGTCATTGTGTAAACTATTCTGTTCTAAACTGGGCTGGCAAAGTGGCTCAAGTGGTAGAGCGCCTGCCTAGCAAGCGTGGAGCTCTGAGTTCAAACCTCAGTACCACTAAAAAAACAAAAAAGAATGGTGTCTGTTCTAAACTTCTGTGTCACTGTTTTGCAAAGCATGATGCATGATCTGAGTTAACAAGGTAGCTTTTAAAAATACAGTTTCTCAGCTTGCCTTGGTGACCCATAGCCCACCTGGGGATGCCTTCTGATCTGTCACATTAAAGTCTGATGGTCACCGTTTTCCAGTTGTTGATCAGTCTAAGTTGAAGGAAAGTGGAATCATGTTAGAGTTACTGAGTCGCTGTCCACCATAGGCAGGTATAATTATTTAAGGCTGTCTTCAGCTTTTGATGTAGCAAGTCAAAGCACCTGCCACGTGAGAGAATTTACTTACACTCTTACAGTTCAAGCAGAAAGTGATTGGCTCTCTGGGTAGCAAAGGAGTAGCAATGTGTTAGAAGTGAATCTTGTAATGGGAGGAGAACCATAATTTGTCATGTCTACATTAAGAGATGTGATCTTGAAATATTTGGAAGATTCCTTGGGCAACTTTTGTTCATTTACTCAAACGTACTTTTTTTTTCTCTTCCCTCCCCCTCCTCCCCTCCTGTCTCCTCACACTCCTATCTGTTTCTTTCTATGATCTCGTTCAGTTCTATGGCTTTAACTATTTATACAAAGTATCTAGAGTGATCTTTCACAACCTTCCATTACTCCATGGCTTGAAACCTTCCTGGAAATGGAATTAAGTCTGATTCTCTTACTGTGGCTTATCATGCCCTCTAAGTAGCTGGTGCTATGAACTTTAATCTTTTTTTTTTTTTAACTTTTTTTGGTGATACTGGGATTTGAACTCAGGGCTTCCCACTTGGTTAGGCAGGTATTCGACTGCTGGCCTGGAACTGCGATCTTCCCAACTATAGCTTCCCACATAGCTTGGGATGACAGGTGTATGCCACTGTACCCACCTATTGGTTGAGATGAGGTCTCGCAAACTACTTGCTTGGGCTGGCTTTGAATGGTGATCCCTCTGATCTCAGACTCCCAACTATCTTGGATTACAGGCTTGGCACCCTGCAAGTAGTTTTTTTTTTTTAAGTACATACATTTTAGTTACCATCTACACACATTTTTGTTGTTGTTGTTTCCTTTGCGGTGACCTGGGGTTTGAACTCAGGGCCTCACACTTGCTAGGCAGGCACTCTACCACTTGAGCCACTGCACCAGACCTTTTAGTGTTGGTTATTTTTGAGGTAGGGCCTTACTTTATGCCCGGGCTGACCTGGTCTACCATCTCCTGTGCTTCCTTGTGTAGCTGGGATGACAGCCATGCTGTCGTGCCCAGCCATTGGTTGAAATGACCTCTTGTGAACTTTTTGTCCTGGCTGGCCTCAAATCATGATCCTCCTTATCTCTACCTCCTAAGTAGATAGAATTACAGACTTGAGCCACTGTGCCCAACTTTCATCTGCACACTTTTTAAAGTTGTTGTCTGTGTGCATTTGAGTCAAAAGCAAAATGAAACATTACAGGGCCTAAGACAGAGCCCTATCTTCTGAAAGAAGCCACTCAAATCACAGGGTGACAGGTTAGCACAGTGCAGCTCTGCGGTTCCAGTAACTACCTTCTTCACATTTCCCACCCTCCTACCAAAGAGATTAGGAGAGACTTTGGTAGCTACGGTATGGAGATAAAGTGATCCCACACTCACAGCTGCCTATGTCAGCAATCTAGGAAGCCTAAGAAAAGCAAACAGTGACCATTGCTGGACAGCCCTGCTCCTTCCTGGTTTCATTGCTCTGGGCAGGCATCTAATGCTGTGCATTTTAGCAGCTGCTTAAAGAGACATACAAACATCCCGAGGCTTCCTTTCTGTTTTGAGCCTGTCTTTTATTTGCTGCTAGTGCCTGTGCAAATGATTACTAAATAAGCACGATCAGACATTTAGATGTCCAGAACAACATTAAAGGTGGAATCTGGAAAAATCCAAATCAGTACATGTACCTAAAAGGAATTTGTGTCAATTCTATAGTGTAGGAAGGGATAAATATTGCTATTCATATTGATAAGACTTAGAGACAGTAAGTAGATCAGAATGTTACTCAATATTTATAGTGTGAAGCAGTTCCCACACCAAAATGCAAACTCAAAATGGTTTAGGAGTATACAACAGGGCATGTTCCAATGGCATACCCTTACTTCCACCCTACTCTCTGCCTTCTCCTTTCATCATTTTAAAACCATTCTTTTTGTTTTCCACCTACGATGAAAGAAATCAAAGCAATTGCTTTTATGCTTCTACCCCAGTTTTGATTGGAAACTTAAACCTCTTTTGAAGAAGCCCTCCTGGGTTCTCTTTGGTACAATCAGATGACATTTAGAGTACTGCACCTGGGTCTGGATGCATTGCTCCTGAAATACAGTGGCAGGTGGAATTATTTCAGGGTAAGTTAGAAGTGCTTTATGAGGAAGGATTAAAGGAATGACCAGCAGTGAATGAGAGAACTGAGTGTCAGCACTCAGAACATCCCCACCCCAGGAAGGGAAGAACAGAGAAGGCTACTTTTGCTGAAGCAGTGTGCAGAGAGTGACAGAAAGAGGGAATTGAAATTAGCAAAGGACATGGGGACATCTGGGAATGAATACAGTGATTTATAGACAGCATGGTTCTCGAAATCAAAATATGTGGGTTCCTGTCACTTGTGGTTTAAAACAGACATTTTTGAGGACGTAAACTAAGCCAGGTAAGGATTAAGGGTAGGCTAAGGTCCACTTCTTCGAGTCATTCCTCGTGTTTCCATTGGCAGATGGGGTGAAGAGAAACATGGGTTGTGTAATGAGGGAATAATTATCAAAAATACTTTTAATCAGAGTGTCCTTGACATTTTCAGACAGGAATGTTCAATTCCCTCCCTCACTCGAGACCTCACAGGCACATGAGCAGAGCACAGGGACACTGATGAAAAGGCGTGTGGGAGTTAACCTGTTCTTTGGGATCAGCCGCTTCTCAGGTCAAGAGGCTACTGTCTTCCTGGCACTGTGTTTCAAGCTTGTGTAGCAGATGGATTTGAAAAGGTTCTTGGATCTTTTCTTGTAAGATGGAAGTTATCAGTTTCTTTTTTTAGAAACAATGATTCTCATAACTTACAGAGTCCTTTGGGTTGAACATATTCATAGACTTAAGTTTCCCGTTTTTATGGAGATTGGTTCTGGTTGTAATCAATTTCTGTCTGAGTTCCAGAAATGCAAAGATACTGCACAGAAAGAGGTGGCAGCTGACAAAATTGCTGTCTTTGACCTTCTGATGCAAGTTTAGTAACGAATCTGGAAAATAATGAACTGCAATTAATGAAATCTGCACTCATATTCAAGTGTGTTTCTCAGACAGCACAAAAAATAATTGAAAGAACTTCCTGCTCTCTAATTAGTTAGATTGAATTAATTTGGCATGATAGCTTTTTTCACGTATCTGGAAGTCTGTGTTCAGATGAAGCTGTTTATGTGCTTCAGAGTCTGGGACTCCAAGTGGCATTGCTGATTAATCTGGGGAATTGAAGAGTTAATGGTCAGATTTAATTTCCACCATCAAAAGTGCAGCCCCATTTTGGCTTGTCTCTTTTCATGTCTGCCCTATGGTAGAGTGGCCTTGTCAGATGCAAAGCCCCGTTCCTCCTGTGCACCCCACATAGCTTCAATTGTGGCAGGCACAGCCTGGGGCATCTCTGGTACCACTGAAAAAGATGTTCCTGTGATGGTCCCTCTTTCAATATGTGATTCTTCCTTGAAGGAAGTGGGAAATTTACACAAATACTCGTTCTTCCCTCGTACACAGGATGCTATTTTAGGTTAGTTACACTTGGTCTTCCTTAGTGAAGCAAACTGCACTTAGCTTTAAATAGAAGTTCAGTATCTTA